GATGTACTGTGTAAAACTGGAGGTTACAAAAGAGGGATTCTAGGTAGGAGTACCTGATAACTATCAAAAGAGACTATCAGAGTCAGAAGTTTTTTTCCAATAGTCAAAAGGCCTACAAATCTTCCTAATCTCCTACACACGTAGGCTTGATCAGTGTCTACCAGTATGATTATTTAGCCCTAAGTAACAGAAATAAAGGGATCTCTATTAAGCACAGAAGTTATGTCATTTTTTTATAAAAATCAGATGACATTAAAGAGCTTAACTACAACTTATGGGGGCATCTGTGACATTATAAAAATTAAGTAGTGTGTTTACATTCCTGATAACTCTAGCCATGTTAAATTTTACATTTCCAGATAAAGGCCTTGTCCTCACCCAGCCTTGTCATGGGGACAACTACTCAGCTCTTGTATCTCCTGGTGAAAGATTACTGGTTTCTATTGTCTTCATGATATTCATTGACCTGTATCAGATGCTGCAACATTTATTTTGTATTAATCTCATTCCAGTACTCATGTATTTCTGCTTCTCTCATAGAAGCACTTACCCCAAGATGACTTTACAACCTGTTTTTTTTCTGAACCAGACTTTTGCCACAGACCCCTCAATGAACCTGATTTCTAAAAGGGAAATCTGAACTGCTTGCCCCATGCTGCCCCCTTTCAGCTTTAAGCAGCCAGAGCAGTCATCACCCATTTTCCTTATAACTAACAGTAAGGATTCACTAAAATTAGAGGGCGGAATGAAACAAGAACAAATATCAAGTAGTTAGTGAAGATAGATGATCAGTCAGGAAGATGGAAACTGATTCAAAGGGAATGGAATGTTAATATCGTCAGGACACATCTTCCTTACTCATGGCCAAAGTCACCTGCCCTTGGGGTACCGAAATGCTAATGCCTCCAGAGCCCTTCCCCCTGTGTAACCTGTTGTCAAGGTGACCTGCTTCCAGGGAATTGTTCCTCCATACAAGGGGCTGTTAATGAATGCATCTGGGCTGCTTCCTTCCTGCCTGGACCCTTGGGTGGCTTTGTTCCTGGCCTTGGCCCACCATTTGATCACAAGTCACTTTGGTCATGAGTCACTTTGGTCATGGGTCATGTAAACAGGATGGGGGAAAGGTCATGAGAACAAAGGAAATCTAAAATGTATAAAAGAAGCAGGACATCCCCACTTCAGATTCCAGCTGTGGATCCCTTCTTCCTCCTGGGAGAAGTCTGTTTCCATCCTTTAAATAAAACTAGCTTTCTACGCTTTCTTCAGTGTTTCTCGGGTGTTCAATCTTCACATCTGGGGAAATGGAACTCAGCCCTGATTGATTCTCATCACTGGTGGTATCAGCAGGAGGATCACAAGTTGAAGCCCAGTCTGGACAACGTAGTGAGATCCTATCTCAAAATAAAATTATAAGGGCTGGAGGTGTAGCTCAGTGGAAGAGCACATTTGGAGCATGTGAGAGGCCCTGGGTTCCATCTCCAGTACTGGGAGGGCGGGTTGGGAGAGAAAGTAGGAAGACTAACAGCGGGAGACTAAAAGCCAAGCAGGGGCTGTGGAGAGATCTCTGGTAGGGAGAGAGTTCCGTAGAGATGCTCAAGAGGAGATCCAAAAAAAATGGAGAGAGTATTGGAGTAGGAGAATATGGGGCAGTAGAGAGAAGGGAAACCTCCGCAATAGGGAAACAGTCTGAGGGCTTGTGGGTAGAAAGCCCTGGAGGTAGAGGGCCATGAGGGTAGAGGGCCATGAGGGTAGAGGGCCACAGGAGACGAGTGGGTGGGCCCTGCAGGAGATGCAAGAATCTGCCACCCAAGGCCAATAGCAGAGGAAGGAAGGAGAGCATGGAGGTGGAAAGCTGGAAAGTCACCTGGGGCTTTTGTTACCTTCACAACTCCAGAATCTAGGCTTCAGGCCTGCAGGGGTGGGAGAGATCTGGGAAAGGTCTCAAGTAGTCAGACTGCCACCTTTAATGGTCCTTGAGCTGTTCAGTGGAGTTACACTTTGAGACTCAGATCACGGGGGGTGGGCTCCCCAGTCCAACCTTTAGCATTCAGACACAAAGTGGACTGCAGGGAAGAGGGCTGAGCATTGAGCTAGGGGGCCCACCTCCTGGTCTCTCTGGAGAGTAAGGAAAATGTCAGCCCAGGACCTAGAGTCCAAGAGGAGGGGCGAGGGCCTCCTGGAGGTTATGCTTTGACATCAGCATCACATACTGGAAAGTGGTGAAACTTTAAGGCAGGGCCAATTTCACATCTGTCTCTGTAAGCTTGGCCTGACGCACAGAAACTCAATCCATAATTGCTTAAAACCCAAATACTAGTTGGGCATGTTAAAACATAGCTGTAATCCCAGCAACTCAGGAGGCTGACGCAGGAGGATCATGAATTCAAAGCCAGTCTTAGCAATTTAGCAAGGATGTGTTTCAAAATAAAAAGGGCTGGGGATGTGGCTCAGTGGTAGAGTGACCCTGGGTTCAGTCCCAGGACTATAAACAAAACAAAACAAAAACAACAACAATAAAAAACTCAAACTCTAGGACTCAAGCCCTTCACAACAGATACTTAATCTTCCATGTGGTCAGACTATTTTATTCTTGCTCTTAGGGTTAGGCATACAGTGGCCTTGGCTTATATTCGAGGCTCTGCAATTCTAAGTGATTCCAATGCTAGGAATGCATTCTTTTGAAATAAACACAAGCACAAAAATAAATGAATGAGGTTGTAGGTTATAGTATAGTTTGTCACCATACTTTGTGTAGTATGGTTTGTCACAAAGTTTGTCACAAAAGCAGGAGATCTTAAGTATTCATCAACAGGGAATGGCTGAATAAATTGGATCTAACCCCACTAAGAAGTACTATGTGTCTTTTAAAAAGAATGAGCTAGACTTAAATGAACCAACATGAAAAGACATCCTTAGTATGTAAAGTGAATAAAGCAAGGTGCAAAAAATCTGGTACTATACGTGTGTATATTTGTACTTTAAAAAAGGCATGGAGTAGAGAAGAGGAAAAGGATGGGGAATGGGAGGAATAATGGGAAATGATAATGGCCAAATTATATTGTTATATTGTGTGCATGTATGAATATGTAACAACAAATCCCAGCATTATGTACAATTATAATGTACCAATAAAAAATATGGAAAAAATAAAGAAAAAGGCATGTAAAAGTCCATATAAAATTAACATAAAAATAGTTATTAGTTGTAGAGAATAAATAGGTCTGAAACATTTTTCTATACTATTCAACTTTTCTCCATTATATTACTTTTGTTTGTTTTGGGTAAGAGGATAGAACTCAGGGGCACTCAACCACTGGGCCATATCCCCAATCCTATTTTGTTTTTTATTTAAAGACAGGGTCTCACTGAGTTGCTTAGCACCTCACTTTTGCTGAGGCTGGCTTTGAGCTCGTGATCCTCATGCCTCAGCCTCCTGAGCCACTGGGATTATAGGCATGTGTCACTGCAGCTGGTTGTATTATATTACTTTTATAATTAAAAAAGAATACATTTCCTGGGTATGGGGGTGCTTGCTTATAATTTCAGTGACTCAGGAGGCTGAAGGAGGATGATCACAAATTTGAGGCCAGATTCTGCAACTCAGTGAGACCCTGTCTCAAAACTAAAAAATAAATAGGGCTGGCATGAAGTTAGTGGTAAAGAATGCCTAGGTTCAATCCCCAGTATCAAAATAACTAAGTAATTACAAAATAAATAAATTCTGGGATATTAAGCTATCTTCAGCAAGGGTCCAACAGTCTTCAGGTCAGGTATAGATACCCAGAGGCTTCAATGATCTGTTGTTGGGAAATAGTTGGTATAGGGCTGGCAGCAGGTTTTAAGAGGCAGAGGCTCTAGGTTAACTCTCAGAATGGTCAGGGTATGGGTTTTAAGGAAAAGTGCAGGTGTTGAGTTAGGGCAAGGCCAGCCGTGGCTGGAAGGCAAGAAACTAATTTCTTAGCATTCTTACAACTCCTTTTCCTCTTCTTTACCATTGCTCCTTTCTGTCTCCCCTTGCCCAAGTTGGCATGTGTACTAGTAAGGGTTCTCTAGAGGAACAGAACCAACATATATATCCTAGACACTCTTTTAATCCAATCAGTTGACAATTCAGATTAACCATTACAGCATGTGGTCCTTTCTTCCCCTTCTGTACCTCTCACTCCCTGTGAGATGCTCTTAGCTCACTCTTCCTGGGCAATGCTATGCTATTTTTTTGGCAGGCTTGAAGAAGCTTCTTGGCACAACATAAGTTTGGTGGGCATGATATGATTTGGCTGGGGAGCTGTTGAGTGATGATATAGGTGCTGTGAGGCGAGCTGGAATAAGTGGCAAAAAAAAAAAAGACTAATAAATGTTTGGATGTTTAATACAACCAAGAGTAGGGTCAGGAGCTGGGATTATGGGGCTGGGGCTGTAGCTCAGTGGTAGAGCACTTGCCTAGCACATGTGGAGGGACTGGGTTTGATCCTCAGCACCACATAAAAACAAATAAAGGTATTGTGTTTACAACTAAAAATATATTTAAAAAATAAAAGATCAGGCATTATATGAGTCTATGGCTAACTTGACTTATTAGCACAGATTTTCTCAATTGGGCCCTAATCCATTCTTCTATAGAGCAGATTTACCTGGTAGGCAGAGTGCCTAAGCCCCATAATACTTCTAGGGGCCCACAAAAATGTTGAAGATTAAAAGATGTAAATAGAATCTATATTACATTCACCCTTATGCCAATGTAATCATAATTCTTAATTTTTTATGGAGTAAGGGTCCTATGAAGTGCCTAGGGCCCATCAAAGTTAAAACATGGCCCTTATCTTTTTACCTTCTATAGCTGTGGTTCCCTTTCCCTGATGTCTTCTTGGTTTCTCAGAAACTTTTGTATCTTTCTCCTTCTGTGTCCTTGCTCATACTGTTTGTGTGACATCTCTGCTTATCGGGTCCTTCCCACCTGAGAACTCACCCATTCTTTGTAAGGCCTTTCCCAATTCCCCTGAGGGGAAGGGACTGTTCCTTCTAACACACATAGCACTTTTTTTTTTTTTCTGACTTCTCCAAGCTTCTCATGACTTATTTAGAGCAGAAGTTCCACAGGGAAATAATCTCATCTTACACTTCCTCATAACTTCATGTACTTGACATCCAATACATAAATATTTGGGAATAACTGCCAGTGACTGTAACGGAGTATTTTAAATGTATGTGGTTCTTCCCAATCTAACTCAACAGATACAGCTAAGGGACAGAGCAGGAAAAGAACCCAACACACACTTCTTCTACCAATGCCCTAAAATCTTTATTTCCACTGGGATTCCATGCCCAATTCTCTTGTTTCTAAGAACTTCTCCTTTTCCCCACTCTAGGTCACATCCTGGCCACTTCTTTCTTTCCTTTTGGCTGGGCCACCCTAGAGTATCTTCTCTACAATGGGCTCCCAAAGGGTACCAGGGAGCTTCCTACAGGGTTGCGTTGCAGGGAACAGGAGGCAGCTGTGGTTCCATGGCACCCTCAAGTGGTGATAGCCTGCTACTGATATCAGAAGAAGACTTCCTGGTCAGAATTTGTTTTCAGCTTGTCAGAGGGGGCGCAGGGAGGGCTTTCTTTCTCTCTCTCTCTCTTTTTTTTTTTTTTTTTTGGTACCAGGGATTGAACCCAGGGGTGCTTAACCACTGAGCCATATCTCCAGCCCTTTTAAATATTTTATTTAGAGACAAGGTCTTGGTAAATTGCTTTAGGGCCTCACTAAGTTGCTGGGGCTGGCTTTGAACTCATAATCCTCCTGTCTCAACCTCCTGTGTCCTTGGGATTATAGGCATGTGCCACCAGTCCAGTCCTGGCAGTAGGGGGAGCTTTCTACCTTGGACGAAGAGCCAGTAGCACATTAAGTCTGCTCCATACCATGCCTATGCCAGTACAGTGGAAGGGATCAGTCTTTTAGTCTTGCTTGACTCTGCAAATTGTCCCTGCTTGAGTTCTAGTCTCAGGGTTGCCAATACCTTGCTGGGTGTCCTTGGACAAATTCACTCGTCTGGTCTCAGTTTCATAATATGAAATTAAAGGATTAAAATATCAGTTTTCAAATTAGGTTCACAGACCTCTACAAGTTCATAGATTGGAGAGCATTGCCCTTCCCTCCCTCAATTTTCACCATGCTGCTTTGCTTTTTCTACTTTATATATGGGGCTTAAACTTGAGAAGCACTGCTTCCATGAACTTTTTTTCAGCGTTGACATCCCAGGATTCCCAAATGTGGTCTCCTTCCACATGGCTACACAGCTCTATTGTTCTAGGCTTTATGGAAGCCAGCCAGCTGTAAATGATCAGAATGGGGTGAAGAGGGCATAGTAAAGCTGGTGGCTTGTCTAGTGTTCTTGTGTGGTGGAAGGAGCTTTGGTTCAGCAGTGAAGAGCCCCAGTCTTAGCTACAGCTATCCACTAGCTGTGTGACTACAGACAGACTCATTTACCTCTTTCTGCTTTAGTTTCTTGTCAGTCAAATGGGCACAGTGGTTCCTGTCCTGTCTCTCTCACAGGATTATTGGACAAATGAAATAAAATAAAGGATACTCAATGGGATACTTCCCATGAATCATGATCAGTTCTACACACTTTGGGCTATGAGCAAGGGAGGCTCTCTTTGACCTCTAATCCCTCCATGAGAGCACCCTGTTTCACTAGATTCTGCAGGTGCTCTGGGTGACCAGGGCTTCAGGATGGGGATACAGAGGTGTTCTTCTTGTGTTCAGCATTGCTGTCCTGGGCCCTCCCCCAGCTGCCTTCTCTGCTTTGGAGGACTCTGTTTCTAGGGCAGAAGGAGAGCCCTAGGCCAAGTATCATGTGTCCTCAAGGACTCTTCCATCAGTGTGGAGGAAAGAAAATGGGTCCAATGTTGCAAGGAGCAAGATGGTCCTGCTTTGACATCCATTGGGTTTAGCAATCCATTTTTAAGGCCTATTGAGGAGCTAGTGTCAGTTTGTCAGACATGAGCAATCCTGTTTCCTGAGAGGATCGCAGGAGCTTGCTGGGGATGATCCAGGGCCTAGACAAAGAGCCAGAGCTGGTGGGTGTCCCTGGGATTACAGGGGGCCATGGTTGGTTTTTTGTCCTGGGATGTCAGGCAGGTACCAGATCCTGAGTTCCTGAAGAGGTGATCCTAAAAGACAGAACAATAAGGATCAACTTGGGGGCAGACCTCTAACAGTGCTACTGGGGGGGGCAGTGAGATAGGGGACAATTGAAGGAGGCAAAGGAACCCAACAAGGCACAAAGAAGACATTTGCAATTTCTCTCCTGGGAGGCAGACACTCTGATGAGCTGCATTTGTGATTCCCTGTCTGAGGCCAATTCCCCAGCCCCAGCTTTAGCTTGAGTGGCTGAAATAAAGGAAAGCAAGACCAGAGGCTAATAGAAAAATGCTTTCAGAGGGTATAGGCAGGTAGCCTGGGTTCTTGCAGCCTGATCCTTTAGGCCACACTCTTAAGCAGTGGGTCCCAGTGGTGCCTGTTGGGTGTGTTGTCTGCATGGCCACAGCTAATCTCCAACCCACTGACCCCATGGCAGCTCTGCTAAAACAGATAGCTATATAGAGAGAACAAACTGTATTCAGACCATGAGCTAAGTCCAGTGACTAGCAAAGAAGAAAGCTGACCTTTGATGAAGAACAAGATGAACAGAATATATTACTTGGGCAAGATTTGGAAGACATGGGAGCAGAAATTCCTATTGTAAATCTGGAGCTTGTATAACAGAAGCTGATAAAACAAACAAACAAACAAACCTTATTGTACTAGAAGCTAGACTAGGGATTTATCCTATTAGAGAGGAGCCTGAAGATGAGGATGTTTAGATGCTGCCCTCTCAGACAAAGTAGCAGTCTGGGGAGCCCCTCCAAGTGACAGCTGAACAAACCCTGGCCACTCTCTCAGAAAACAATATAGAAGCCAGGTTCTTAGGAAATGCATCTTGTGGCTACTACAAGTTCAAGTTCCCCGCAGGCAACGTGGACAGAAAGTAACTTTGAAGCCAAAGTATTCTTCTTCAAAGCACTACTACTAAGCAGAGACTTTTCCCAGGCCAGGAAGAAGGGCCATCATGTGTGCACCAGTAAGGAGGAACTGGGTGACTATTTTGAAATCAAAATACTTGACCCAGGTTAGGAGATTTCTTTTGGATCTCTGAAGGAAGGAGCTTCCTGTGGACAATGCTCAGACAAGTCAGGGGTTAGTACTTCAAGGATGTGTGGTTACTCCATATTTGCAGGAAATATCAAGTAGCAAACTAAATTCTGAGAATTAAATGTCAAGAAAGAGAGAGAGAAAAGAAAAGGAAAGGAAAACAAAAGAAAAAAAGAAAGAGAAAAATGCTCTAAAGGACTCCTGCCAACCTAGATGTCCAGGCTCAAAGACCTTAGGTCACTGCTGCCTGCCCCCCATTTCCTGTCTTTGATTTTATTTTGACTCCTCCCTTTCCTGCAGCCTCGGGTTAGGCTCCTTTTTCCTGAGCTGAAAATGGGCTCAGTGATATGGACGCTACATTATATATCCTGGAACAGTGTGGCACCATGGAAAGAGCCTGTGCTTTCAAGCCAGACAACCTAGGTCTGAATCCCAGCCTGCCAGTCCCTTGTGATGAGGAACTGGGTCAGTCGTAAACTTGTTGAGCTTCATCTGGCTCATCTATAGGCATGGGGCCACTGCCTACCTAAAGATGCTTGTGCCACAGCAGAACTGGCCATGGGCCATAATTGCCAACCCTATGTTTGTACCAGCCAGAACCAGTCATCACTCGACATTGATCAAGTCCTGAGAACCCTGCCTGTCATCAAGCCCACACTCACCAGGTCACCTCATGGTATCTCAGGCAGAAGATACAGAGAGTAAGCAGCAGGCAGATGTGGCCTTGAGTTCTTGATTCCAAGATTTCTGGGCAACTGACTCACCTGGGTCAATTCCCATTCCTCATCCTTGGGCACGTGGCTATTTTTGCCAGTGAACTGACATTTCCGAAGGCCCAGTGTTCTAGCGCTGGCATGTAGACACAGCTGCTTTGCGACATTGTGGCGAAGGTCCCTCTGGGTTGTGTACTCAAAGTACTGGAAGTCAAGACAAGAGGAAGTTTTGAGGAGCAGGTGGGGAGTGGCCCACTGCCTTCCAAAGCCACATGCCCTAAGATACCATCCACAGGTGGACTGCTGGGAAGGAAAGCAAGTGGACCAGGCCATGCTAAGACTCTTAGTAATTCTTGTTGCCTTCATGATTTTTACCAAATATAGGTTATACTGGAATAACAATGAATGTATATTTATTTATTAAATTAATTAAAATTTAATTAATTAAATTTATTAATTAAAATTTACTGTGCATGGTGGCACTTGCCTATAATCCTAGCAACTCAGAGGGCTGAGGCAAGAAGATCACAAGTTTGAGGCCAGTCTCAGCAACTTAGCAGGGACCTGAGCAACTTAGTGAGATCCTGTCGGAAGTAAAAAATAAAAAGGGCTGGGGACGTAGCTTAGTGGTAAAGTACTTCTGGGTTCAGTCCCTAGTACCAAAGTAAGTAAATAAATAAATAAAGTAAAATTTAATTTAATTTAGCCTCATTTTAAGCAACTTCTGTGTGTAAAATCATATGTTGGATAGTTCTATCTCTGCTATTAAATTATTACTAGAGTAAAAAATGCTCATCTGTGTGCCACCTAAAATCATCTTACAGGTCAGTCGTTTAAGAAACTGCTTTTGAATGGCTTTGTCTTCATTTGCACATGCTGACAGCCTGTTCAGGTCCCGAGCCACTTCTCTCCTTGCTTCAGCTCTATTTTAAGTACCTCTTATTTACCAGCCGGTGTACATTTAGGGTAGTAGAGAGACAATGAATGGGGAGGTTACTAGTTATTTCTCAAGGGAGTGCTGGGGCATTCTGGGGCATGGGGTAAACGTCTAGGATGCCAGGTAATTGTGAGATGTCAGTAGGTGACTGTTTGGGGGTCCCTGCTGGGTGAGAGGATCAGAGTGGTAGTTTCTGGGCAGGGGAGATAAAAATTGAATGTAGATAAAGGGAAATGTTCAAAAATTTTCACATTTTCCTGCAAATATCAGCTGGCTTCCTTCCAGCAAGGCTTCTCTGATTACAGTGCTCTCTCTCATCCTTCTCTAGCATCCAGCACTGCTGCCGGTGTGCCCTCTGTCCCCAGACTTCAGGTCTTATCTGTTTGTGTCATGCATTACCCCTCAGACTGAGCTCCCTGAGACAGAGATGTATTTCCTCCGCTTTTCAGACCACCTCCACTCCAGTCCTTGGGAAAGGACGATTTAGGGTAGAGGAAGGGAACCGTGAGGAGAGGAAGTGCCCCAGAGACTGGCTTCTCTTGGGTCTGCCTGGTATGGCTGGGCTGTTTACCTGATTGCCACCGAGGCCATGGCAGGAATACATGATGAGGGGCTTTCCCCCATGGTTATTCTCACCCACATCCAGGCACTGATCAGTGCCGAGGTTCTTGATCTGCAAGATGGTAAACAGAGAGGGGAACCAGGGTAGCGTGACTGGGAGTTTCCAATTTTATGCTGTGAAGCCCAACTGGAAAAAAACTTTCTCTTCTACTCATCTTCTCTGCTCATTAACCCAGATGCCAGGAGTTCTAGCAAAGTGAGGGAGAGGCAGGACTGAACATCCACCGTGGGACAGGATGTATAACCCCTTACATCCAAGAGCATCAGGTTCCTTGGAAGATTTCTTCCTTGGAAGAAGTTTCTTATGAGCAGTGGTTCTCAAAGCATGTAATGCCCAGACTATCAGCATCTGATTTTTCAAATCCTATCCCAGTCATTCAGAATCAGAAACCTAGAATGGGGCCCAGCAATCTGTGCTTTAACATATCTCCTTGGTGATTCTGATGTGCACTGACATTTGGGAACCACTACTTATGGGTTGCTTCCTTCTGATGAGGTTTTTACCTATATCTAGAAGTCCCAAAGTGGACCCTCCATCCTCCTCCTGGATAAAAGATTGTGGTAGTAAAGGCCAATTCTTGTTTGCCATTCATAGTGGGGTAGGTGGTCTTGAACTTCTCAGGGGGTTGCTGTGATAATAGGTAGGCAGTTTGGTTCTCAAACTTACAGCTCCATAGAAGATGGGATTCAGGTCAGGAACAAACATCTCTGGGTAGATGTTGTGAAGGAACCAGGAGAAGTTGTGGCAATGTAGTTGTTCCCGCAGCCGCAGTCGTTCCGAAATGTCACCAAAGGATTTCTGCCAACCAACCCAGTCCCCTAAGGGTCAGTTCCACAGTCCTGACCTTCCCATTTGGGTTGAGCAGCTCAGACAGCATGCTGCTCCCAAGGCCACTTTCTCTCCTGTGCATTCCCATTTAGGATCTGCTAGGGCTAGTTGTTCAGCCTCATATCCAATCTCAGACTCCCTACCTTGGTTTGGGGCCACCCCCCTGCAAAAAAAAAAAAAAAAAAAAACCACCACTTCCTCATTTTCTTTGACTGCCCAGTAAGTCCTCCTGGTTCCCAGTCCAAGCTTCTCAGAGTGATGTGATTCTCTTGTAAGAGGTTCTTTCCCCCAAATTTCTTCTCTCCCCTCCCCTCCTAAATAATGCTGTAATTCTCCAGATAGGGACAACAAGGGCTCCTCTAGCCTTCAAGATCTATGGCCTCCCCTGGGCTCTAACTCAGGGGCTCTTTAGGCTGAGGGAAGTCACCTGCCATTCAGTCCCTGACTCCAGTCTAGGATTCTGTGCTTTACTTCATCCTAACACTCTGAGCACCACTTCCTCTCACCTCTTGGGCCATCTTTGCTGCCTGCAGATTTCTCCTGTAGAAAATCTTCTTGTAGTTATCCAGCCAGACCTCAGCCAGGCGCACTTGGTTGCGAGCAATGACACTGGTGCCCTTGGGGAAGGTGTGGGGACTCTTGGTACGGAACACATGGCCTACCACAGAGCAGGGGATGATCTCCAGCTGGCCCCCACACTGCCACACCTGGCACAAGAGGAGACAGGACCGTGTCTTAGGAAGTGAGTTGTGGGGGATAATCTCCGCACAGGTAGCTATGTTCAGTTTCCAGGGCACTAGTCCAAGGACTCAGTTAAGTGTTTCCCTCTCTTCCTGGAAAAAGGGACATTGACCAAGTTTCTTCCTAGGCTGTGACTATACAATTCCAGGCTCTGTGATGTTGGTTCATTCTTGTTTAAGCAAATAGTGATTTACAGAATCCTGAGGTCACTATGGCCCACTTTAGAGAAGGGATAGTTGGTTCACTTTGTGCTGCCCACCTACTCTTCACTCTGATCACTTCACTTTTTGTCCTGAAGATGTGATTTTATCAGCTCACCTAGGTATTACTGGAAACTAAAGATCTCCCAAGTGAGAGAATTAGTACACTAGTCAACAGCAAGGACTGTCAACTGCCAAGTAGCCTGGGTAGTCACCTGGTTCCTTAGCACACCAGTTTCTCAGGAGAGAGACTGAACAGTGAGTCAGAGACTCACTGAGTAGCCTAGAATCAGAATCCTGGGATTTACGATGACTGGCCAGTGACCCTTCTCCATGCCAGTGGGCTGGACAAAAACATCCCTTCCCCTGGTCTCTTCTTTTGGGTTTCATGTGTGGAGATATGTTATTGTTCTCTTTGGCTTCTGTAGTACAATCATAGTTAGATTATAGCAGATATCAATTATGTGTTTATTATGTGCCACTGTAAGAGGTGACTTCAAAAATGAACTCATCTAAGAGTGGTTGGGGAAACAGAGTCCCAGGGACCACAGGCTGCTCTGCCCAAGAACCAGGGAGAGGCGGGACAGGGCCAAGATCACTGTAAATGCCTGTCTGAGGCAGTATTTCCTGGTGTAGGTGCCAGGAGAGAAAGATGCCTGGGGGTGGAGGATGATTGTAAATATATCAGCTCCACGTTATTTATAGAAAATTTACATCTGTGTGAATGTGAAATAAATGTCCTTAACTCGAAAGAAAGAAAGAAAGAAAGAAAGAAAGAAAGAAAGAAAGAAAGAAAGAAGAAAATGAGCTCATCTACTTATTACTTTTTACTGGCATAGGGATTTGAATAGCTTTCATACAAGAGAAAATCCTTTCTTCCTACCCCAATCTTGATTGCCTAAATCTTAAAATCCCTCTGAGTTCTGGCATCTACCAGAATCAGGGTCTCTGTCTTCTCCTATAGTTATGAAGAGTTTATTTAACATAGACAGAGAAACCCTAAAGGGATGTGTCTTTTGACATGGGAAGGAGAGCCTATTAGAATCCCCAGTCCCCCCATGCCTCTATTATTCCTTCCCTCCTAGAAGTTCTACCTAGTAATTTATTTCAAGTCATCCCACTGATTGCCAGAACCCTTCTGCCATGGACAGGGAGGGGAGCAGAGAAAGGGCAGACCATGACAGAAAACAGCCACCCTTTCAAGTTCGGTTCCAGATGTGACATCCCTGCCTAAAGGACAGCTCCTTGTGCTGTCCCCTGGGATGTTGTAGTTTCCCCCGAAGCCCTCTTCACTCTCACCCGCAAGGACATTTCCACGTTCTCCCCTCCCCAGATCTCCATCTGATTATCATAGGTACCGATGTGCTCAAAGTAGGACTTGGAGATGGAGAAGAGGCCACCAGCAAATGTCGGGGACCTGGAGAGACAATAGGAGAAGCATGTGCATCTTCTGCAGGGGGAGGAGCAGGAGGCTGTTGAGGAATGCTGTTTGTGAGCTCACTTTCTAGGCCCCCATAGCCTACCTCCTCTTCTTCCTGGGACATGTAGCCCCTCTTCTAAGTCACCTGTCCACTTAACTTTTGCTTTGTCCTTTTTCCCTTCTAATTCTGGGTCAAGGACAGATGTAATTATCATTACTCTACTCTGAAAGGCACTCATTCATTCATTCAACCAAGAATATATGAGACACCAGCCTCCAGCATGTGTGCATGAGGGGCATCCAGAGCTGACAAGGACAATCCCATTCCCTGAGTACACAGTATAGTAGCAGAGCAGGAAGCTTCATTGCTCACTTTTTGGCAGCAATGTGCTAGAATAAAGTAAATACTCAATTTCTGGAAGTTGTGTGAAATTGTTTTTGAAAATAGGCAGGAGTCAAACTGTGAATGAATGAACACATATTATCATCTGGGCTGGCCCTATTCTATGTTGGGGTCTTTGGCCCTTCGGCAACTATAAAGCCACAGTATTAGTAGGAATCTCGCCCTGGTGTTCTAAGCTGCCTGAGAAACTCAAGATGCCAGTTACCTTGAACGGGGGAAAACTGATAAAAGGTGCCCCTGGAAACAATGGGAAGAAAGTGTGAGATAAGCACCATATTTGGACTATGAGGAGCAACTAGGAGGCCATAAAAAGATTCTGGCATTCAGACAAAGGCAAGGAGGCATAGACCCAACTTAGGTAAATTAACAAAAACATCTCATTCCTAGAATTAAATACCAGGCTAAGGGCGGGGCACCTGAGTGGGAAGTAGAAGCATAATGGAAGGCAGGAGCACTTAGTCCTTGGCTGTTGGCTTCTGCACCTGAGCCAGGCTGCCTTGAATAGCTCTTTGCTGCCCTTAGTGGGTATCTGCATATGATAGACCAAGCAGAAAGAAACAGAAACTTTTTGTGTAACCCCAGAACCTATCAAGGGGCCTTCATCACAGTGAGGTCCAATCAAGGTTCAATAGGCTGATCCACCAAGGTGACTTCACAGGAGCCTGACCTTGGTGTTACCCTGTAGTTGCACTAATCTCCCCGAAGTTGGCTCTTGCAGCCACTTTCTGGGAGGAATTTCAGTTGGGAAACCCGAATGTTCAGCTTGGCTTCCTGTCACTGGTTCTGTCCTCTCCCAGGGGTCCTAAGCCAGCATAAATAGCATCCAGAGAGGCTCAAAGAGTCCTAGAACTCCAGATGGCTTTGAAACTAACCTGCTCTTGAGAGTCTCCCCCACTATGGCCTGTCTCACCTCCAAAAGGTCTCCTAGACTAAGTCACTGACAAATCAGCTGTGAGGATAAGCCCTACACAGGGAATATCACAATAGATCCACAACCAACAAGCAACCTCTAATAAATGCCCTCTATTTCTTAGCCCTGGGATCCTTCTGGTTCATCTGCCTTTCCCCTTATTTTCTCACCTCCTCTGTGAAAGAGGAGGTGAGGAAGTCCTACAGAAGTCCTGCCATGGGCCACTCTGTGAAGTGCCTTGGGCATGCCATGACTGCCACCAGGGGATTGGAACCAAGGAGCAAATTCATTCCTCAAACACTGGAGCTTTGTTCTCCAGTTGTATGTCCCTGGATGCTGGAGCTGGGGATGTCAGTGATGAGTGGCAGCCAGGCGCCTTGTCCCTGACTGTGTTGCTATGTGTCTGGCCCCAGTCTGGGTGTGGGATTTATTGCTGTACATGCCAAACAAAAGACATCTATGGAAAAAGTGGAGGGTCACTAGGGAATTCCAATTCCTTTTCTCTCTCCTGTCCTCTCTTTTCCCTCTTTGTTTCTAATGCAGACAGACAGTTGGCAGTTCAGTATCCCTGGGCACCCGAGCTATCTCAACTGAAACTCTGGTCACCATTTCTCAGGATTCTAGGCATGTGCAATGGGAGGAACCACAAGCCTCTCCTCCTTTCAAACCTCTCTGCACTGGGCACAGTGGCACACACCTGTAATCCCAGCAACTCAGGAGGCTGAGGCAGGAGGATCATGAGTTCAAAGCCAGACTCAGTAACTAAGCAAGGCCCTAAGCAACTTAGCAAGATGCCGTCTCTAAATAAAATATTAAAAAAGGTGCTAGGGATTTGGCTCAATGGTTGAGTGCCCTGGGTTCAATCCCCAGTAGCAAAAAAAAAAAAAAAAAAAAGAAAAAAAAACAAGCAAGATTGCATATGGTTGGTAAAACCTGTGATCTTTACTATCTGGCCCTTTACTGAAAAAGTTCAGGGCAGCAGGATGCAGTGGTGCATGCCTGCAATCCTAACAACTTGGGAGGCTGAGGCAGGAGAGTGGCAAGTTCAAGACCAGCCTATACAACTTAGTGAGACTCTGTTTCAAAATTCAAAATAAAAATTTTTAAAGGCTGTGGATTTAGCTCAGTTGTAGAATACACCTAGGTCCCTAGTACTAAAAAAAAAAATTCAGGGCAACTACAAATTGCAACAAACTTTAAACTGCAGAAAACTTATTTTCTTTAAATATGTTCTCAATCTCTTGGAGACCAGTACTTAGGAATGCATGCCACCCCTACTTATTACAATGGCTATTCAACCCTGACCTCCACCCTCTCTTACCTGTTCTTCCAGCACCATTTATGACCTAAGTGTCAAAAAGAATCAATGAGATAAAGTAGAAGCCTTAGTCCAGTGCCTGGTGTAGAGTCAGTGTGAATAAGAGCAAGCTGTTTTGGTGTGCAGCCGTATAGTGCCATGGTTAAGGCTATGCGGTAGACAGAGGAGGAATATCTTTGCTACCATTTGCTACCTGCCTGTTCTAAGTCAATTATTTATCACTAGGAGCCTCAGTATAAAATGGGCTATCATAGTACCTACCTCATACAGAGTGAGGATTAAATTAAAATGTCAAGTACTTGACAGAGCACCTAATAAATGCTGATGTGGGATGGCACAGGTCCCTGGAGGTGGGCGGGACTGTGGCCACAGAAGTCATGTTGGGGGCTCATCAGGCTGTGATCCTTACTTGATGGGGTAGGTCTCATCCTTGCGCCTCTGCTTCTCATGGTCAGGCAGAGTCTCCCAGCCAAAGGTCAGGCTCCAGTCAAAGTTGCCACGGCTGTGGGTTCTGCCCCGCTGGACAGGCTTGAAGAATGCAAAAGTATTCAAGTCGATGGTAACAATGTCTGGACTCACCACTGTTGTCTTGTCCTCAGCAATTCGAGCCAACAAGGGCTCCAGCCAGCCATGGAAGCACTCACCTGCGGAGCCAGACCAGGAGGTAGCAGTCAAGGTCCTCCCCACAGTTGAACCAAGCCCCACCCCAGGCTTGCATCCCTGAGACAGGTCCTTTTAACATTTTCAATGAACTTCTGCATATATTACTTCATTGGGCCTTCAGAGTAATAATTTTGTTAGGTGAATAAGATTAGGATTCTCATTCCCATTTTACAAATGAAGAAACCGAGGCTGTTTGTGGAACAGTTAGAATGGGAACCAGAGTTTCTGACTCCAAGTCTAGAGCTTTCCCTAATATATCTCACAGCTCCTACACAATACTTTTTTTTTCCCCTGAAAATTACTGGAAAGAAGAATGATAGTGAAATATAAGATGGATGCTAGTTGGCTAATAAACGGGTATTCTGCTGGTTGACCTCCAAAACACCAGGAAAGTGTTTTGACTTTTATCAAGAAGAAGGCCTTTCTGACTCCACATGGCTCCATGGGAAAGCCCCACCCAAATTGTTCCCAGTTTGAGGTCTCTTTGAGGCACAGAGTTCAGAACAAAGTATAGGTCGGGGAAAGGTGGAAGGAAGAGCGTCGAGGGCTCCAGAGTACACTCTCAGCAATTTTGGGGTCACCATTTGTTTTAGAGTTATTTGTGCCTCCTAATTAAACATCCCTGGGATTGGGGAAGTAAGGGGCAGAAGAAGAGGCTCCCAAGCTCCCTTCACTCCTGAAAAAGTTGAACAGGGTGGTCTCAGCTTTTCATTCTGCCAGGAGGGAGGGACAGGTGGTAATGTGGGCCTCCTGGGTGCCAGGCAGGCATCTCCTACTCACAGTGGGCATCCAGGAACGTGAGCACCTCTCCCTGCGCCACGCTGGCGCCCAGCAGCCGAGCAGTGATCAGCCCCTTCCGCTCCTCCTGCCGCACCACCCTTACGATCTGCAGCTGCTGCACATACTGCTCCAGCTTCTCCTTCAAGTACTCTGGAAGGACAAGGCCACTGTTGCCAGTTCACTGCTTTGTTGCAAACTTAATCCCCTGTGGGCACCAAGCCTAGGTGCTCTGAGGTCACCAGCACACCTGAATGCCAAATACCCACCACCCCCACTGCATTGAGCCACTCCACAAAAGGCTGAGGTGAAAAAGGGGGACAAGGGAGGATGGCAGAGGAAGGAGGAAGTCCCATCTGCAGCCAAGTCTCCTTGAGGCTTTGTGGTGCCTGTTTGTTGAGGCACCTCTCCATATTCCATGACAGCATCTCAGAGTTGTGTTTTGTGAGTACAAAATGACAAAGGCTCTCAAGTGCCTCTCACAGTTTCTCTACTGTCCCTGCCACTGTCTTCAGAGCTGTGATTTCGCCTCCTTCCTCCTCACACCTGGTGGGTGCTCCCTCATTTCTCAGTGTCTATGATTCCCTGTCTTCCAGGATCTTTGGAATAAGTTTGGCTGACAGAGCAAACACGGATGTTGACTGCTTGCCAGTCGGATCAACTGCTGGATCATCAGCAAGAAGTCTTAATACTTTCTTCTTCATCATCATTTTTTTTTTTTTTTGGTGCTGAGGATCAAACCTATGACCTTGCTTATGCTAGGTTAGCACTCTGCTACTGAACTACACCCTTAGCCTTTTTTATTCTGAGACAGGGTCTTGCTAAGTTGCCCAGGTTGGCCTGGAACTTGTGATCATCCTTCCTCAGCCTCCTAAGTATCTGGAATTAGGGCTGGGGTTGTGGCTCAGTAGTAGAGCGCCTGCCTTGCACGTGTGAGACCCTGGGTTCGATCCTCAGCACCATATAAAAATAAATAAACAAAATAAAGATATTGATGTGATTATGCAATCTGTATATGGGGTAAAAATGGGAGTTCATAACCCACTTGAATCAAATGTATGAAATATGATATATCAAGAACTATGTAATGTTTTGAACAACCAATAATAAAAGTTAAAAGAAATACCTAAAACAACAAAAAAATGCATAATTGAAAAAAAAAGATATTGTGCCCATGTATAACTAAAAAAAAAGTATATGGAATTATAGGCATGTGACACCATTCCTATAATCAATCAATCAATCAATCAATCTCTCTCTCTCTCTCTCTCTTTCAATACACACATACTCTTTAAAAAACAAACACATACACCAGTTATCTGCCATGGGCCAGTCACAGTGTTAGGGACTAAGTATACAGTGATCACAACTGTATGATATTTGACCTAAAGAACACATTGCCCCATGATCTACTAGAGGTAATGCAGGCTGGGCCATTCTTGCAAGAGGACCAAACATTTGAATTAGAAGGCAGCAAAAAAAAAAAAAAAAAAAAGCTTTCTGAAAGGAGAGGCATCTTCACCGAGATCTCCAGCTCCTTTTGAGAGGGAGTATTCTGTTTCTTTACTGGCCTTTACACTAGCTGTTCTCCTGGTGGGGAGCATTCAGAGTTGTCTTCCCTAATGATCCTGGTACTCCACCTGAAACCCTCAGCACATTAAAAATAGCTCTATTCTGAAGGAATCCGTCTTGAAACATATTCCACATATACCTGTGCCACTGTTCTAGTCTCAGTGGTGCAGAATGGAGATTTGTGTAGTGTTAACAACTGTGGCGAATCTGTGTCCTTTTCTTTTGGATCCTGAGATCAGCCCAGTGCACAGGCCCTGCTCTGAATTTTACAAACCCCATGAAATCAATTTAGCAGACTGCTACTAATCCTGCACACATACACACATGCACACTATAGTGAACACTTGAGTACCTACTATGTGCCATTCACTGAACTGGGTATTTTCATGTTGACTTCCTTCTTCGGTCTTTTCAATAACAACTCTATGGAACAGGGAGTATTACCCCTGATATTAACAGATGAAAAAAAAATAGATGAAAGACTCAAGAGTGATGAGCCCAGAATCACAGCAAGTGCAAAGGGCAGCTGTGGGTTCCTAACCAGCCTGTGTCTGAGGTGAGGCCACTTGGCCAGGACAATATGCATGGCTTCAAGGTGGTCTTTGCAACCTCTTGCAGTTATCTGAGGACTTACCACTTCCTCATGTGTGAAACCCCGACAGGGAAGGAGATAGATCAAGCTCCTCTTTTTGCTTTTTCTAAGGAAGGTAGAGCCCAGGGGAAAGAAAATATAATTTGGATTTTTTGTGTGTGTTGGGTGGGAGGCACTACTAAGGCTTTACCACTGAGCTACATATCAACCCTTTTCATTTACTCTTTTAAAAATTTGAGACAGGTTCAAATGAAGTTGCATAGCCTGGCCTTGAACTTGCAAACCTACTTGTGCAGCCTCCCAAGTGGCTGGGATTATAGGCATGCCCCACTGTGCCTGGCTATAATTTGGAACTTCAACTCTTCTCTTTTCTTCAATTCCTGACATGGTTCTGCCTTCCTTGAGAACAGAATCCTTTAGGCAATCAAAAGGGGAGCTGCATCTTACTTACTCCAGGAATGAGAACTCTTCCCTCTGGTATCAGGGTCTTATAAGTCAAAATTAGCCTCCCATGGCAGCTTCAGTTCAGTGATCTCTTAGTGAACATCTGATAATGCATTTCCAGGTGCCAGATATTGTCCTGTGCAGGGAGAAACCTACCAGGTCCAGGGATTTTGTAGCCTTATGACCCAACCACAAGCCCAGGGGCTGGCTCTGACAGAAAAGAGGGAGGAACCCCAAGCAGGAGCCTCACCTTCTCAGCATGGCTCACATTTCCCCTGAGAACTGGTTTAATTCTGCTCACAGGAAGCTCATGGTAGTGGAGGTAACCCAGAGTCAAAACATCATAGGAAGTGGGTTTTGTGGTAACTGAGAAGCACTGAGCTGTGATCCTCAGGGGGATCTGAGCTCTGCAAAGTTCTCCCACGATTTCCTTCCAGTCTCACGTGGCTAGGCTAAACCTGGGGATTCTGAGCCTGGGAGGCTCCCAGTCCAAGGCTTCTGTCCCTTCTAGGGAAATGAGATAGTTCCCTAAGAAAGACCCCCTGATAATTCTCCAATGGTCTCACCCTACTAACATACAGAGAATACCAAAACTGAGAATGGAGACAGGCAAGCCCATCTACGCTGTCTCATGTTTCTCGGATAACAGTCTTTTAATTTAGGTTCAGCACTATCACTCCAACCATGCTTACTCCTCAAGGCTCGAATCCACAAGACTGCAGTTGCCCTCAACACTCATGCCTCATGCAGCCCCATGGTTTGAAATAAATACCATCTATATGTGGAAGATTCCCAAGTCTTCCTTCCTGGCCTTGCCCTCCTCTTCATTTAGACATCTAACAGAACTGCAAACCTAATGTATGTCTCCCAAACAACTTCAGATCCTAACCCACCTCCCTACCCAGTTTCCCCCGTCAGCACAGGGAACCAGCATTTCTCCAGCTACTCTAACTTGGAGTCATGTGGATTCTTCTCCCCTTTTCTCACTGTCCATGACCAGCCAGCCCATCAACAGGTTCTGCCAGTTCTCTCTCCATCCCGTCGTTGCCCCAGCACAAATGTCTTATCGGTCTCTGGACACCTTAACTCTACACTACTCTCTCCAGACTATTCTTAACACAGTCACAGTGAGCAACCAAGCTATCTTTTAAAACTATAAATCAGATCATTTCACCAATAATGGTTTAAGGTACACTTAAAAACAAATCTAAACTCTATGGTGGTTTCTTTTTAAAACTATAGAATATCATATGAGCCAGCAATTCCATTTCTGGTTATATACCCAAAAGAATTCAAAACAGGGACTCTGATATTTGTACATCCATGTTCTAAGCAGCACTATTCACAATAGTCGAAAGGCAAAAGCAGCCAGGCACAGTGACGTAGGATTGCAAGTTCAAAGCCAGCTTTAGCAACTTAGGCCCTGAGCAACTTGGTGGACCCTACCTCAAAACAGAAGATAAAAAGGACTGGGGATGTAGCTCAGTGGCTCTGGGTTCAATCTCTAATACTAGGAAACAAACAAACAAAAAAAGCAGAAGCAACACAAGTATCATCAACAAATCAATGGATAAGCAAAATGTGGTATATGCATAGGATAGAATATTATTCTGACAGATGTTCTGATATAGATGAGTCTTAGATATATTACTACATTAAAGAAGATAGTCATGAAAGAACAGATGCTGTATGATTCCACCTATATGAGGTACCCAAATCCATCAAATTCACAGAGGCAGAGGTAGAATGGTGGTTTCCAGGGCTGGGGCAAGGAGGATGAGGAGTTGTGGTTTAACGGGTACAGAGTTTCAATATGGGAAGATGAAACTGTCAGGAGCCACTCTGGACAGGAGCTGTGTACACACCTTTAAGTCCTGAGTAAAGAGGTACTGAACTGGTATTGTACCCATTGCAATGCAATTGGACTTTACCTCCGCTGGGGTAAGAAAGATGCAGCTCTAGGAGTAGACGTCACCGGATGGGGTTGAATTACACCCACCTGTTTGTTGCAACAGTACCCTTTGCCCTTTTTTGGATAGAATCTTCCATAGATTAGCTCCCCCCATTAATAAAACCAAGGTTTGAGGTGTGCTCCCTCTCTTTCTTGCCTACCTTGCCCCCTGGTGGGAGCTCAGCTGAGGAACAGTCACTGAACCCAATGAAAAAGGTATTTCTCTGACTTTGTGTGATTATTTCATGTCAGCTCAAATTCACTCGGAGTGACCCTGATTGATTTAGTGGCGGGCAGCCACATGAAACCATTCTGGAGATGAATAGCCATGATGGTTGCACAACAATGTGAGTATATTTCATATTAATGAACTCTCTGTCATTAAAAATGGTGAAAATGGTGAATTTTGTTACTTATGTTTTACTCCCCACCACACACACACACACAACCACATGCTGCTCACTGCTTATAAAGGTCTTGTGATTCAGTCCCACTCATCCCTTTTTAATTTAATTGCAGTGCTGAGGATTGACCCCAGGGCCTCATGCACACAGGCGAGTGCTTTACCACTGAGCTACTCACACCCTCTAACTCCTGCTCGCTCACTGTACCAGTGTTCTTTCTGCTTCCTTTCCCACTTGCTCTTGGCTTCTTTGGCCTTCTTTCTGTCCCAAAAACATGCCAAGCCTTAGGGACTTTGCACTGACTGACTGTTTTGCAGACATTATTGCTGGGATGCCAATGGAGATGGAGACAGAATCTCTTTATGGGGAGAAACAGAAGAATGTAAATAGGGTTAATATGGAGACAAACTGCAAGTAATAAAGCAACTTTACTTGTTAAAACAGACGCTGGAAGTTGTAAGTCAACTACAGTCACAGCCTTTGAACAATTTCTGATTATATCACTGACAACTCTTAGGAGTTCAGGAAGCCTCAAAACAGCCACTCACTTCAGTTCTGACAAGCAAGGGATACAGAAGTGGGAGAATCTTGGGGGGTTTCCTATAGTGCATTCATAGGGTTCCTGCTGGGCACCTAGATAGGACAGAGAGCAGGGACACTGCATTTCAGCAAAGGCATAGCCCTTTTGTGTGTGTGTGTAATGAGAGCTGCCCCTTTTCTCCTCTCCTGTCCTTGCTCATCTCTCAACCTTCCCTACCCCACCTTCTCACTCCTAGCCTCTAAGGCTTGTGTTCATTTCTCCACTCTTTCTGGGCCCTAGGTATGTATCTGATTCCCCCAGTAAATCTCACAGGAGGGAGGTCTAGGTTGTCTCTTCCTCAGCCTCCCCCTGGGGCAGGACAGGGCCTTGAACATGGAGTGTACTGTTTAGGGTATGGCTGACTGATGGGCTTGGGGGCCAGTTTTCAGAAGCTGGTAGTGTTTGCCAGACCAGGAGACCTGGACACTGACCCAGTCACTCAGGAGTGAAATCTGTGCCCTGATTTTTGACTGGCACTGGGTCTCCACCCATCTCAGTATCAAATACCCCAATACTCCTGGTCATAGGGTTCCTGCTGGGCACCTAGACTGGGTCAGAGAGCTGGGACACTGCATTTCAGCAGAGGCACAGCCCTTGTTTGTGTGTGTGTAATGAGAGCCGTTTAATCTGATTGAATAGTCAAATGCATAGGAAATTTTATCCCACTGTGGACTGCAGATCTCTGACCAAGGAGCTGAGGTTTTTCTTTTGTTTTGCTTTTGCCTTTTCCCACTCAACAGTGCTTAAAGTATCTTTAGAGTCTGAAAGCCCTCAAGGTTGGGTTGTTTAATACTTATTTACTTCTTACTTATTTTCTGGCATTGGGGATTGAACACAGGGCCTCGTACATGCTGGGAAAGCACTTTAACATTGAACTACACCATTAACCCTTTTTTATTTTTTGTGGCACTGGGTATTGAACCCAGGGGTGCTCTACCACTGATCTACAACCTACCTTCTTATTTCCCATTTTTTTTTCTTTATTTTTTTATTGTTTATTTATATATGAAAACAGAATGCATTACAATTCTTAGTACACATATAGAGCACAATTTTTCATATCTCTGGTTGTATATAAAGTATATTCACACCAATTCATGTCTTCATACCTGTACTTTGGATAACAATGATCATCACATTCCACCATCATTAATAACCCCTTGCCTTTATTTCTCATTTTGAATCAGGCTCTTCCTAAATTACCCAGGTTCGCCTTGAACTTGTGATTGTCCTGCCTCAGCCTCTTAAGTAGCCATGATTATAGCAAAGGCATAGCCCTTTTTTGTGTGTGTGTAATAAGAGCTGGCCCCTTTCTCCTATAGCTAGGACTGTTAAGTTTAGAGTGCACAAATTCTCTGTGGAGGCTGCACATTGTTGAGGGCGATGGTGCTCTAGTCTCAGTGGAGGAAGAGAGTTTTCAATGAATTCTTGGAGCAGGCTGACAGAAAAATAAGGTCCAAGTTAGGTTTTTCAGGAAGATGAGCTAGGGGTGCTAGAATAGACCTTAAGAGAAAGTCCAGGGCAACAAGGTAGGAACAACCAGAGAGAATGTGAATGTGTGTCTGACGGCTGCTAGGAGCAGAAAGAAGTTTTGGAGAGGTGCCTGGAGCTACTGCAAATTCTGCCCTACGAGGCACAGGCTGTTCTGCCCTTTAGATGCTTCGTATGCCAATCTGGCACTCTGTCATTTGTCCATCCTGGTCACAGGAGTGGCTTAACTGGGCACTTATGAACTTAGAAAGTCCTGTGAAAGCAGTTTATATCTCCCACCCTATGGCTCAGGGGTTGAAGCTTCAGAGGGATGAGTAGCACAGGGCTGGGGGTGCAGGGGTGCAAAAGAGCCTGGTATGAGAGGAAGCTGATACACTTGCTCCTGCTCCATACAGCCATTCCATTTGCTAGTAAGAGCCCTTTTAGACCACTCCCAAGACCCTTCCATATCTGCCCAACTTTTGCCCTTCCCTTTCCAAAAGCCTAATCTATACATTCCTTGTCCACTAGTCTCTGACCACATTCCTGACACTTACCTTTGTAAATGATGCCAAGTGTCTTCTTGCCTGGGCAAATGTTAACTCCCGAAGAAATGGGTTCGACAGTGCTCATACTCAGGCCCTCCTTTAACAGCCCTAGTCCTCTTTCAGCATCACCCACAACCCAGAGGGCAGGAGGAGGCTGGGGAAGTGAGGAGGGACAACTGCTCTACTAGAGTGGTCCAGGACATACGCTGCAGGTGTGGAGTCAGTTCCTGCCTTCAATGTGGGAGTTTGGATATGGAGGCTTATCTGGGAGAACCCCAGCCACCACAGGCCACCTGAGAGGAGGCACTAGCACCTGGAGACTCCCAGTCTGTCTATGCATCAGGCCTACAGCCCCTTTACTAGTCTGGAACCATCGTCCCACTTTCAAGTGGTTCTAAGAACTCATTCTTTGGACTCTGGGTCGTCTGCCTATCTTCTTGCCAATTACCCTTCTCCAAAGCTGCCATCCTTTTGAAACAAGGTCACTGTCCAGTTTAAACACTTTCAATGACTCATTTCTCCCTAAATAAATACATTTATCCTGGTATGAATGTTAATTCAACATCTTTTTGGACTCATTTCCTACCATAAGCCCAAGCTTCAGCCACACTAGATCTCTCCAACAAACAACTTCATTTCTCTAGGATTCTGTTTATGTTGTTCTCTCTCTGGGAATGCCCTTTATCCATTCCTCTTTCCTAGACATTCATTCTTTAAGGCCCATCTCCAATCTGGCCTCCCCTGTGAACCAGGCCCAGACATGCAAGGCAGAAATAACACCTCTGTCTCTAGACTCCCATGGAACATGGCCCCCACACAATGAATAAAATGAAACCATTGCTTAGGGAGTGATTGATTATTTGATGTCAATTACTCTGTGTCACATGAATCATCTCATTTATCACCTATCTCAGACCCCTTACCTACCATATAAAGAATTCAATTGTCCTCATTTTTAGAAAAGGAAACCAAAGTTCAGAGAGGTAAAATGCTTGCCCAACCTCACAGAGCTAGGAAGAGTCAGAGCTGGGATTTAAATTCATGGAGCTGGACTCCCAAGTCCACACCCCTTCATATGTGTTCATATGGCCATACCACTATCTGACCTGTGAGGGCTGTTAGTTGGCCTTTTCAGGATAGGGTCTGTCTTGTTTGTCAAGACACCCCGTGGGCCTGGGTCAGTGCCAGGCACAAGCACTCAGTAAATGTTTGTGGAGTTGATTGAAGTGAGCAAGTAAGTGAGCAACCTCACTTACCTATTAATAACCATAGTAAAAAGAGCTTCTGAGGTGGAGACTTCAGAAGAGTGTTCTAGCAGGCAGGCAATAGGGAAAGGCCTGTGTCTTCCCTCTGCCTTGTCCTTGCCCAGCATTTCTGAGTTGAGGTTGAGCCTGGCAGCTCTCAGGGAGTCCTGAAGGCCAAAGCTGTGAAGCTCTTGGAGTTCTTGGGGTCCAGTGGAATAACGTTCAGGCTCTGCGAATGCAGTCTCCCTGCCCCCCACCTGTCTTCTGCTCCTGGCGTCTATGATGGGTGCAATGCCAGGCTACAGGCCTGATTCCTTGAGAGAAACTGTCTTCCTTCTCAGAGTACCCCTGGGACCCCAGCCCCTCCTCAGGGCCCCTCAAGCCTCACCCTCAGTGCTGGCATCATCCACCAGTATGATCTCCTTCAGCAAGATGGCAGGGCTGGTGTATAAGACACTGTACACCGTTCTCAGCAGGGTGGACCAGGCCTCATTGTGGAACACAATAATGACACTGGTGCTGAGCAGTGGGGGGCAGCGCGGGAATTTCTGGTCCACACACCTGGAAGGATGGGAGAATGGAAACAGCTGTCCAGGTCCATGGAAATTCTAGGAGTAGGAAGGGCTGGGTCTAAAGCTCCCCTAAACCATCCTTTGTTCCTCTGAACCGATAGCTGACATCCCCTGCTGGCTTGATTTCCTATCACGTGCTCTGAGCTTTGCACAGGTTCTAGCCAACACACTCCAACCTCCCCTGGTCTCCAGAGCTGGCTCAGTGCTCCAGATGCGATGCTCAGTCTTTCCCACCTCCTCCTTCCTTCATCTGTTCTCTACTATCAGGCTAGGACTTCCCAGGGCCTACTCTTTCTCTGTAGTATGTGTATTGTGTAAAGTGAAATCCAGTCTAGAAGTCCCCAAGGGGTAAGTGATAAAGGACAAATTTGACATTTGAGAACATTGACTACAATTTTCTTACTCAATGTGAGGAAAAAAAGGTTCTTCCATTTTTAATTTACAGTTCCTCTCTAATCCATTTCCCTATTAACATCCTATAATACAATTCTACTATCACAGTCAATTTCCTGCAAACGTTTCTCTATCCCCATCTACTACAACCACCATTCTGTGGCATTTGGCCACACTGCCATCTAGACACTCCATCTTTGGGTGAGAATCTGGAGCTTGGTGATCCCATGGTTTAACACCACTTCTAGTCCCCCTCTGTTGTTCAGAGAGATTGCTCATGGGCCCTCCAGAGAGATTCTCCAATTTCCTCCACTGTGCCTCCAACAATGCCCTCCTTTGCCAACAAGCCTGCAGTAACACCAAGTGACCCTTGTTCTGGGTTATGATACTTGTGGTCCAAGTCTGAGGAATTGCAGGCTCACAGCCCTAAAGGATCCTAAATTTGGGGATGAAGAGCTGTGTATGAGAAAGGCCAGAAAGAGTCTAACATTTTTGTTATTGTTGTCACTGGGGATTGAACCCTGGAGCACTCCACCACTGAACTATACCCCCAGCCCTTTGTATTTTTTTTTTTTTTTTGAGACAAGTCTTGCTAAGTTGTTGAGTCTGGCCTCAAACTTGGATCCTCCTGCATTAGCCTCCCGAGTCACTAGGATTACAGGGGTGGGCCACAGCACCCATCAAGGGTGTAACTCCTAAATTGAAAAAGACAAAGGCTGAGTGGGGACTCAGAATCTTTAACTTGAAGACAGTGTGAACACAGCTGTGGCCACATTAGATGAGGTGGGAGCAGTTCAAAGATGGAAGTGTTGATTTCATCTTCAAGACTGAGAATATAAACAGTTTCAAATAAAGGCTGGAATGACTTCATGGTCTTGTGGCCTTCACTGGAGGAAACCAGGTGGTGCGGGGACATTCCAGACCTCCAGGGCTGTAGTTAGGAAATATCAGCTCTCCCAACAGTTTTGCCTCGGAGTCCCACAGTCTCTGGGACAGGCCTCAGCAGAGGGCAAGGCCATTGAAACCACAGCCTGCTATTAGTCCTTCCCAGGTACCTCTGTCCCCAATACTAGTCCCAAACCCTGAGTTCCTTCTTCTCTATCCTGTCACCTTCATAACTGTGTTTCTCTCTCTCAGGTCTCTGTAGGTCTCTGACCTGCCCATAATATTCCTTTAGTTCCTGGGATAAGGACAACTGGTCAGTGAAAGAAAAGAGGGCTTATAGGAAATCCTTCCTTGTACTCTCAAATGCCCTTCAACTTTATTCCTGGCACATGGCCTGGGGCCACAGGCCTAACTTCCAAATCTCTGGTAAAGCCCGGGCCTCCACCCAGGACTCGTGCTACTTACTCAGGGGGTCGGGTGTCTGGCCCCAGGGCCCTGTGCAGGGAGATCCGGTCACTGGCAAAAGCATTGAAGCAGTGCTTCTTATAGCCCTCTTCCTTTTCCTGGATCTCCAGGGTGGTCCACTCACTCTTCTTAAATGCGGTCCCGTCTGCCCCAGGGCTGTTGGGGTCCTGTGGGGGCCGTTCCCAGAAAGGCTTCAGCTCAGCTGGGGTATAGAAGCCAGGCAGGCAGGACTGATTTTTGGAGACTGGAGCCTGCTGGGGCTCTGGAGCCCTGATCTGAAGCTTGGGCATTGAATCTCTAAGGTTGTTCACAGCCCCTAGCATGATGTCTAGCACGTGATCCTTCTGGTTCACCAGAGACTTCAGCCATGGTTTCTCGGTGGTCTGCTTCCTGCTACTTGTGTCCTTTTGCCGGATGAAGAGGAAAAGCATGAAGGCACTGCCCAACATGGCCAGCCGCAGGGTCATGTGCCGTCTGCGGAGGAGCCTCATCCTCCACAACCAGTGGGGACCCCAGCAGGCTCAGCTCCAAGTACCAGGCCTGACCTTGAAAATAGCTTGATATGTCGTGGTGGCCACACTGTGGGGTCTCTGTGGGCCTGAGAAAGGAAGGGAGAGAGAAAAATGAGGCAAGATAGGGGTGGGGAGGGAGCTGGGGTTTGGGGCTATAGTCCAGGCTCTTTTCTGAATAGTGGCATCACCTTTAAACGGTCACAATGTGCTGATGCTTAAATTTTGTTCATTTGTAAACTAAGAAACTGGGCTCTGTTTCTTTCTTGCCCTAAGATCCTGACGTTTCATGGATTTGGGCAATTGGAACATTGAAACTCTACAGGAAGACACTTAATCAACATTAACATTTTAGGAAACAACTTGGTACTAACAAGTAAAATGTATGTTTGTATGTATTGGTACTAGGGATTGAACCCAGGGTCACTTCACTGCTGAGCTATATTCCCCGTCCTTTTTATTTTCTATTTTGAGACAGTTGCTAAGGGTCTCACTAAATTGCTGAGGCTAGACTTGAGCTTGCAATTCTCCTGTTTTGGCTTTCAGAGACACTGGAATTTCAGCTGTATGCCACCACACCTGCCAGGTTTGTTTATTTAAAATTTTACTTGGTTAGCCAGATATAGTGGCCCACACAACTATTCCCAGAGACTCGGGAGGACAAGGTAGGAGGATCACAAATTTGAGGGCAGCCTCAGCAACTTAATGAGATTCCATCTCAAAAAAAAGGTCGGGGACAAAGGCTGGGGATGTAACTTAGGGATACATCTATTCAGCCTTTCTGAATAGTGGCATCACTATTCAGTGAGTTCTTCACTGAGTTCTATCTACCCCCAGTACTGAGTACTCCATTCCTACTTTTATGTCCCAGATAAACTCTAGTGCATGCAAACCAGGAAGCCTAGACAAGAATGTTTATAGGAGCACTATCAAAACCACAAAAATCTGGTAACCATCTACAAGTACATCAGCAATAGAATGAATAAAGTGTGAAATAGCTGCACTATGAAGTTCTCTACAGCCATAACAAAGAATGAACCACTTCTCCATGCAACATGTAGACCTAAGGTTGGGTGGAAAAGCCAGTTGCAGAAAGACTTACATAGGGGTAGGGAATGTGGCTGAGTGGTAGAGTACTTGCCTAGCATGCATAAAGCCCTGGGTTTATTCCCTAGCACCATAAGATTAAATAAAAGGAATACACATATGGTGTGATTCCATTTACAGACAATTTGAAACCATGTTGACACTAAACAACATGTTGTTATGAATACAAATGCATTTTTGTATTCATATTCATATTAAATAGGTATTAATATAAACTATAAAGAAACTAAGGGAACAATAAAGCCAAAGTTTCTGAACAAGGAAAAAAAAAGGTATGGGATTAGAGATGGGCAATAGGGAACTTAGAAATAGAGCTTGACTTTGCCCCAAATTAAATAATAGCTGCTGTTCACCAGAAGTCTTACTGATAACATCAACAGTCAATCGATCACATTTGGTATATAATAGATATGGTGAAAAATGCACATGAACCAGGGATCACTTTTTAGTGTGATACTCAATTTTCTGAGGAGAGAAACTGCTCATTTGAAGATAATTAGTGTTGCATGGTGTTTTAACTGGATACTCAAAATAATGGAACTCACCATCATAGCAACAGGAGGTAGCTACAAAATTATTACAGGAGTACAATATGTACAAAGTTATTTTACATAGTTATGATTTGTTTTTTGGTGCTGGGGATATAATTCAGGGCCTTGTGCATGCTAAATACACAATTTAACACTGACTTACATCCCTAAACCCCAGTTATGATTTAATATTGTACCTTTACATTGGCTACATTTCTCTCCATTCAAATGGTATCATGTGTGGTCTATATTTGTGTGCTTAAGTCCTGATAAAATTTAGTTTTTTACATCCGGGCATGGTGGTGCATGCCTGTAATACCAGTGGCTTGGGAGGCTGAGGAGGGGAATCACAAGTTCAAAGCCAACCTCAACAAAAGAGAGACACTAAGCAACCCAGTGAGACTCTGTCTTTAAATAAAATACAAATTAAATCTAGGATTGTGGTTCAGTGGCCAAGTGCCCCTGAGTTCAACCCCTGATAACTCCCCCCCAAAAGAAATTAACTTTTTATAATAGATTTTTGTATATTTTATGTTAGTAAATAATAAAATAGATTAAAATAAATTTTATCTACCTATATTTCACATACTCATGACATATCTAATTTTTTTCAATATTTATAGGATAAAAGATTTGTCAGTTTTTTAAAACTGTTGAAAATATCCCTCTTCACACACACACAAAATTCATGTATGAATGCACCCACATAGTTTAAACCATTCTGTACAAGGACCAATTAACTGTATTCTTCCAAATCTACTCATTTATAATGAAAATTTTAAAAAAGATCTTTAAACTTAAGATTTTATGATACTTTCCAGGCAGGACCAAGCATGGGTGCTTATCAGTTTCCAACTTCAGGAATGTATCCCACACCTCAAAGGATGAGTATTTGCAAAACTTTCCTGGGGCCAGCTCTGAAAGTCTAAGGCTCACTGATGGAGCACTAGATGTTGGTGGCAAAAGAATGGAGCATGAATACGGTACTGCCCCTATCGTAACAGCACCTACCTCCTAGGGTTGGTATATGGATTAACTTTGAAAAAAAATGTGGAAAAACTTGGCAGTCTCTGTACATATTAAGTTCTCAAAAAGCATCAGTTGTTATCATTAGGCATGCAAGACCCTTGGTGACTTATTTAATCCCTCTAAGTCTCAAATTTCCTCATCTATAAAGTGGGAATAACTAATACCTAACTCACAGGGTGCTGATAAGGATTAAATGGGATATTGTATGTAAAATACTCAGCAGAGTGCCTGGCGTTTACTAAGCTCTCAATAAGTGGTATCAAGTATTTCTATTATGATAATTAATAAATCCTTGCTCAACGTCCCAGGAATTAATCTCAAGCATCTGGTCCCTGGCCAAAACCACGATGATCATCCCTTGCATATTTTGCTTAAAAGTAACTCTGGTTCAGCTCTTTATTTCTGCTATTTAAACCTACTCTCTCCTGCCCATGGGGAAGCCTGGCATAGTCACTTACATCTGGGGAATACATGGCTGTCATAATCTCGACAGGGAGCAGGGTTTGCTCTGGGCATGGGGAGACTGGCACTTTCTTTCATAACATCAGATTCAGCAGCAGCATCAAAAAAATCAAACAAAAGAAATCTCTTTGGGCATTTGGTTTGCATTTTTTGTATTGTCTAGGAGATGGGAGAGATTTGTTCATTCTGCCAATATTTATGGGATATCTGTTATCTGCCAGCAACTCTGCAAACTGTGGGAACATAGGGGTGAACAAGGCCCAGGGAGTGTACATCAGTTGAGGGAGTAAGATGTTAAACAGTGATTGCTCAGCAAGATGGTAACACAAGAGAGGCACCTTTAGGTGATGAAAGAGAAGGGAATCTCAACAAATACTGAAAAGCAGAGACATCCCATCAAGGGAAGAAGCTGGTGCTGAGCTTCTTGAACACAAGAGTAGGAGTCACCCTGGTGAAGTGAGCATGTTCCAGGCAGAGAGAAGAGCACAAGCAGGAGACCTAGGGGTGGGGAACAACATGGCCAATCAGAAAACTGAGAGCCATCTGCTATGGTGGGAGTATGACATCTGATGGGAGCAGCAGCAGATGAGTCTGAACAGGCAACTAGGGAGTTTGCCCTTGACCTGAGGTGTGAGCAACAATAAAGAATTAGCTGGGAGCCCAGAATTCCACGAGAAGCAATATGACAGCTGGTAGAAAGCGTCTAGGAGAAGGACCTGCCTGGCAGCTGGATGGTCAATTAAGAGAGGCCTGAAGGGTCTGACCCAGTAGAGCAGCAGAGCCAATGAAGAGGGGGAATGTAGTGATAAGGTGAGAGCAAAACTCACTTGGGTGTTAGGGTGGGACACAGAGGAACATGAAGGAATGCAAGACTAAATTCCCGTTCTCAAGGGAATTAAAATTCTTGTTGGAGAACAAGAGGTGGTAGCAGGGGGTCCAAGTAGCACCTGTCCTAGGAGGAGACAAGGCAGAATCCCCTTTTGCCCTTTGAACCCTGACTATATTACCTATTCAAAAGTTCATAAAAGTCAGGTGTGGTGGCACATGCCTGTAATTTCAGTGTCGCGGGAGGCTGAGGCAGGAGTTTCAAGCCAGCCTCAGCAATAGCAAGGTGCTAAGCAATTCAGTGAGACCTGTCTCTAAATTTAAAAAAACAAACAAATGAAATAGGGGTGGGAATGTGACTCAGTGGTCCAGTGCCCCTGAGTTCAATCCCTGGTGCACACACAAAAAAGTTTATAACATTAAAACTTAATAATAGCCTAGAGAATTAGCTGAAAAGGTAAGACTTTCCTGTGAAACTGAAGGGGGTTTAAGGGAAGAAATGAGGGTGCAATATAATGGCAGTTTTCTGACCCTGGGTTAGAACTATGCTGGGGTCAATCCAAAGGGTTCTCATTGAGCTAAACACCTTATTAATTCTGGAACTGCTGCAGCCAAGCCCAATTGGAGAGCTACAGAATGGGATAGTATGGAACATTCTGTAGGCAACATGTTTTCTGCTATCTTCTATCTACCTTCCCCCTCCAGCAAGAAAGAGAACACAAGTTAACAATGAAGGTGTGGTAACATTGTGCTTATTAGCAGTACCCACTGCTTTAGGACTCACCTCCTCTAGGAATGTGAGCCACCCAGGTCACTCCAGCTCACTCTTTCTGATACTGCCTTCTGGTCCCCGAAGCAGGGTTCGTCTCCTTTATTTCTCCTGGAGAAAGAGAACTAGGGTCAAAATGAGCTGCTCCCAGGCATCCATTCTCTCAGTCCAACTAGCTGTCTAAAACTTTTCTTTCTGGAATCTATAGTTCCTCAAGGTACTCACCACATCCTGAATTGAAACAAGACACCTGTGATTAGGCTTGGCAGTAATCACTGTCTGGTTTGTTTGCTCGGCAAGCAGGCAACAGAATAGTCCTTCAGAAGAGACACATAATCCAGTGGGCCACAGGAGTTTGGGATTAAAAATTCCTGCCCTGTGCATTGGAGATGATTCCCACAAGTGCGGTTAGCAAGAGCTGGGTGGTCACCCCCTCCACCAGCCTTGGAGAAGAAATAGCTCCTACTGTGGTACTTTGTTAACAAAGTGCAAGGCTTCACAGGATCCACCTGCCATGTCCTGCCTATCTCCCTCACCTTTGGGGCCCCACACCCAGGGCCACTGACAAAAAAAAAGTGCCCATAGTGCTTGTCCACTTACTCCCCTCCTGCTGTTGCTGATCATTTGTCTTTTTAATTCATCAGACTTTCAATGCACTGAAATAATGCCAGAAATCCTCTTATGGGAAGTCTTCCTAGATTAAATGAATGGGACTTGCTTCCTGGGCCCCACCAAGCAAAACAGGAATGTACCTTCTCTCATGGGTGTGAGGACCAGGAGCCAGAGGCTAGCCAACCACTAACCAAACCTCTTACAGTGCTATAAAATAACTTAAGAATGTGGCAGATCAGCATGAAAAATAATTCTTGAAAAGAATGAATGATGAAAAAGGAATTATCAAATTGTACCTCATGTAATATGGGTAGGTATTATTCCATTAAACTTTTATTTCATTTATTATTTATACATACATACATGCAGTTCTGAGCTTTAATAACTTCAGAAGTATGAAATTCAGAAGTATGAAGGCTACAAATGTTAAAAATGAGTATCGCTGGAGAGTTTCATTTAAATTTCCTTTGCCTTTGTTTAATCTTATCAATTTTAAATAATCAATTTTTATTTTAATCTTTATCCTCAGTTCATTGAAGATGACAAACAGTATCTGATAGAAAATTAAAACTAGAATTTTGTTATTCAAAATTCATAAAATAAATTTAAATGATCCAAAAAAATATATATTTTTTTTGTACCAGGGATTGAACCTTTGGGCATTTAACCACTGAACCACATCTCCAGCCCCTTTTTACATTTTATTTAGAGACAGGGCCTCACTGAGTTGCCGATGTTGGCCTGAAACTCCTGTTCCTCCTGCCTCAGCCTCCTACTGGGATTACAGCACCATGATGTGGCTGATCAAAAAAAAATTTTTTTCAGGGGGGAGGGGTTGGGGGGTGGTGTGTGGCAGGGACCAGGAATTGAACTCAAGGGCGCTCAACCACTGAGCCACATCCCCAGCCCTATTTTATTTAGCTGAGGCTGGCTTTGAACTTGTGATCCTCCTGCCTCAGCCTCCTGAACCACTGGAATTACAGGGTGTGCCACCATACCTGACTATAAAAATCTAAATTTTATCAGAACTTATGCACACAAATACAGACCATACATGACACCATCTGAATGGAGAGAAATATAGCAAATGTTAAGGTAAAATATTAAATCATAACTGGGGGGTTGCAGATACAACTCAGTTTGGTGGGGTGTCACCCCGCCAGGCTGATCAAATTTTTGAATGACTTTTGTTGTTGTTGTTACTTTGTATAATTTATACTCCTGATGTTATTAAGGTATAAAACTGCACTAAGAGTTTTTGGGTTATCTGCCACACATATATGAGTACTAGGTCTTGTAAAGCTTCTTCCTTTCCGGTCATAGAAGTTTGAAAGCCAACAATGCAGCCTACGTTGGGCAAGGGCTCCACCACTGACCTCCATCCTTAGCCCTGGCCTCCTATTTCCACCTTCACTCTGGCCTCATCACTGCCTGCCTTGTGTCAGAGGCATCTCTTCTCCCTCCTGGGACCTGAAAGTCCTTGTTGTTTCCACCTTTTTATCACTTGTAAAGCCTAGGATTCCTTTGTTATGGAGTAGGTGTTCCATAAACTCTTATTAAATGAAATGAAGCCAGAGGGGTTAAACATTAAGCACTGGCTACACTAAATGATGTTTTGAACGCACTTGCCACAGGTATTTACATTATGTGATATTCTGCTGTTAGACCCTTAGCTTGCTGTCTTGATTAGTTGTCTGAGTTCAGTGCCCTCATCTTACTGGTGAGGCTATCTTCATTAGTGACTTCACTTGGTTAGGTGACACCGCATCACTCGCATCACTCGCAAGCCCAGAACCCTGCTGCTCTGCTAGCTAACTCTCACCTCCCCCTTGGAGGTCATGTGGGTTCCGGGCTCTAGCAGAACTTCCCTTTCCACTCCCAGACCCCTTGTGTGGCATTTGCCCTCCTCCAGCTCCCACCCAGGGATTCAAATACTTTAAATATGCAGAAACTGAGAAGTCCCAAGCAAAGTCTCTGTTTTGTGAAAGCCAGGGTCAGCCACTCAGAACACACCCTTGCTGGCCAGGTGGCCTTTTTTGTAACAAAATTTCTTCCTGTTTATTGAATGAGCTGTTCACCTCCTGGGAGACGTGGCAGCCAGGAAGCAAGCTGATTCGTCATACCCAGGGGGATGTTTGCTCAAGTTAGTCAAACTACAGCCCAATTACAAGTCTCTTTGAAAAGTAAGGACTGTTATCACTCTCAATGAGGGCACAGGTGTCTGAAGCTGGACATCATGTTAGGGAGGGGACAGGTCAACTTCAAGCTCCCGGTGGAGAAAGGGACTATGAGGCTGTTTGGCCAAATGTTGGTTGCCTATTCTTCCTGGCTAACACTTTCTCCCCATCAAGCCCAGCTCTTGTTTCCTGTCCCCAGTACCATGCTATGAACAGAGGGGCAAATTATCTCTTCCAAAGCTCTCCTCCCACCTCTGACCCTTTTGATCACAGAATACTGGGAGTTTTCCCCCAAAATTCCACCTTCAAGACACTTTTAACTTTTCCTCAAGACCAAAGCTGAAGTACTGTGGCTTATTTGCCCCCAAGAAATGTGCTGAAAGTTATTCCTGTAGCCAGTCTATTAATATTTCCCCCCAGTATATCTAGGTTCATTCTATATTTACATTCGATATGAAGCTGAAGTTATCCAAACATAGATTCTCAACTGAAAAACCCAACCCAACTTCGCCTCACACTGTATACCCAGATTAGTGCTTGGCATATAGTAGGCGCTCACTAAATCTTTGTTGACTTATTCTGAGCAAAAGTCACTGAAAATCAAATTGACAGGGAGACAAAGAGGAAGTTCAACAGCGTATAGGTTTTTCCCTGGAGGATCTCCAGGCCCTGCCAGGTGGGGAAGAGGTGTGTCCTGGACCCCTAGGAATCCAGGGATGAAAGACGGTCCCAGGCAGGGAATAAGTGGGCTTCTCTACTGGCCTAGGAATTCTGGTGACAAGCAGTGTAGACTTGAAGGAAGACAAAGAAAAAAGAAATTTTTATTCAATTTAACCATCTGTTGGTTGCAGGGGATTGAGGGGCAGTGCAAGGTCAAATAGAGGAAAAAAGGGTATTCCTGAAGACTGGGACCAATCTCTAGAATGGAGAGGGTGAAACAGGTTTTTCCTTCTCACTCCCACAACCTGCTCTAGGTTGTGGAATTTCTACCCAGGGAGACTGGATACTCTATCTGCCACATTTTGAACTCAGGGTCTGGGCCCTGTCCCTTACGGAGCCAGCCTTCCCAGTTTCCCACAGTGGCCAGTCACATCAAAATCCTCGAAACAGGGCTTGGGATGTGGCTCAAGTGGTAGTGTGTTCGCCTCGCATGCATGAGGCACTGGGTTCGATCCTCAGCACCACATAAAAATAAAATAAAGATATTGTGTCCACATAAAATTGAAAAATAAAATTAAAAATTAAAAGAAAATCATCAAAACAACCCCAACTAATTAATTAAATACTAGAGTATTTAATCCCTTCTCCATGGTGGGTTTACCCCATGCTTACTCCCAGGTCCTGTTGATTCATTCCCTGACTCTAGGATCTGCCCCTTCCTCTCTACTTCAAAACCAGCAAATCAGCATCTGAAAGGGTATCCTTGCAGCCCAGCATCTGGAGAATCAGCAGAGCTACCAGCCAGGCTCCTTTGCCTCAAAACTGTCTCCCCCCTTTTATAATCAGAACAGCCGTGTTCATGTTCCTTTGGTTCTACTGGATTGTGGCAGAAACGCAGCCTGGGCAGTGTGCTTCCTGTTTGCACATATTCTCAAACTTGACCAGATGCTTGGCACTGGCTGGCTCTCCCTCCTCAAATCCTTGCCCCTATCTCCCTGGTAAGCAGGCCATGCTTCTGTTCTTCAAATTCTTACTCCTAAGTCCCCTCTTGCAAAAGAAGCCTTCTTAGACAAAGGTGTGTCTCCATGCCCCCTGGATCTAAGTGTGTTTATTTGCTTCTAAGTTTCTCACTCACTTTCCCCATATAGGAATTCCTCGTAGATTTCATGGAGGCAAACCAACAGCCCTAGATACCTACATATCATTTCCCTTCTCCCTGATCCTTATATCCTGGTCCCCAAACTTCTATTTCCTGACTCATCCATGTGGCCTTCAGTGCCTGCAGCATCCTTTTGCCCTGAGGTGTGTGGTTAGGCCATTTCCTAGGACCCAGAGTAGGCTGGACAGCGTTCAGGAGAATAATCTGACCCTTTAGGGCTCTCAGGTACCATAAAAGAGTCTAACAACATTCCTTTTTTTCCCCCTGGACTGAACCCATTCTTGTTCATGACACAAGCCTTTTATATAGCACAATTACAGCATTGAGCTTGACACAGAGACAGGCACTGCCCTACACTTGACCTCTTGCTTATTCAAATCCTCACTCTCAGACCCATCAAATGAGAATGGTCATTTTGGGCTTTCCCAAAGAGGGACAGGGGCTATAGATCCAAGTTCACCCAGGCTCTGACATAGCCACTCAAGAGTCCCTCCAGCATGTACACACCCCTCTGGTCCTTAGTTTCACTTCCAGGGCTAGAAATATCAGAATAGATCTGTAGGAGTCATAAGATATTTAGGGAAATACTATTTTTTTAAGACAGGGTCTCACTTTGTTGCCAAACTATAAACTAGCCTCAAACTTCTGGGTTCATGTGATCCTCCTGTTTCAGCCTCCCAAGTAGCTGGGACTACAGGTACACATCACTGTATTCTATCAAATCAAGCTATAGTTATCTTCTCCATTTTACACAGAAGAAAAGTGAAACACAGGAACATTAACTAACTAAGGTCACACTGCAAGGAAGTAGCTGTGCTGAATTTGCACTCAGGCTCATCTCTCTTCAGAGCCTTCTGTCTTACCCATGGCACTATATTGTCTTGCATTTGGCTGGTGCTTGGAGCTTTGCCAAAAAGCACTTTCATATATACCTTCTCATTTGCTCCCCACCCAGGGAGTGTTTATGTGATTTGGACAAGGTTATACAGCTAAATTAGTGACAGACTTGAGTCAGCAGCCTTCCACCTTCATTATACCCACTGCCTCCCTGCATGAGAAGCCCTCGGCCCTAGAATGAGCTGACCCTCTTAGTCCTGACTTCAGTTCTAGACAATGGCTACACAGACTGCAATGATCATATCTCTTTCCCAGGTCTCTCCAGATGAACTTGGGCTAAGATGTTTCCAATCTCAGAGGGCACCTGATAAACATCAGGGCCTCCCCTTTACAGGCCTGAGCTCTTCCATGCTGGGGCGGATAGGAGTTAGTTGTTCTGCCAACCTTGGGTGGTGATTATTTGGCAGCCCAGTATCCCCCCATGGTATGGTGAGTTCCAGATTTCCATCTTCCCTTGCACTCAGCCCTACCTGATACTCCTGAGAGCAGGTTTTTTTTTTTTTTCCTGTTACCTTTGGATTATTAAAATGGTACTTGGGGCTGGAATTGTGGCTGGGAGATAGAGCGCTCGCCTAGCACGGGCAGGACCTGGGTTCCATCCTCAGCACCACATAAAAATAGAGGCATTGTGTTGTGTCCATCTACACCTAAAAAATAAATATTAAAAAATGCATGGTACTGGAGCTGGGAAATGCCTGCAATGATCCTGGCCATTGTTGGATAATTAGAACAAAAGCATATTTCAAAACCCTGGCCTTGCCTTGTTCTAGTAATCACATGAATTTGTCTGTGTCATCCTTCTCAACCTTTCTCTGATGAGTAGGGAAACAGCTCACCCATTGGAGAGGAGAAGTAGGCCTACACAGTGCACACACATCCCAGGCAAAATAAGCATAAGTCCTGGAGGCTTTTTGGTGTGTCTAGAGTTATTAACCTCACCCAGTGTCCTGTAAACTGTGTTTGTGGGCCTGGGGTGATCTGAGAGCACAGTGTTAAGACCCTCCTTAGGACCTCCTGGTTAATAGAGGATGTCTGTTTGAAGCTTTGTTGGCAAAGTGATCACTGCCAGTGCCCACACAGGTAGGACAGTCCTGTCCTACTCTCTGCAGAACTCTGGGTCTGGGATGCCTTGCCCCTGGGGCAATATAAGCTGTTCCTCCTTTCTGTCAGTGTGAGGCTTGGAACAAGTGACGAGAAATCAGGAAGTTGATGACAGCCACAGTCATGCACAACCATCAGGTCCCCTCCCACACAATACCACACAAATCCCTCCCTACTCCCGAAAGACCCAAGCATTCAGGGGAGGTCAACCAAGTAGGGCTGTAAGGGACTCCCACCAGCAAGCTTTTTGCTTGCTTCTCCCTTCTGCTCAAGTGTGATGGGGCGGCGCTGGCAGGAGGAAACCTTTCTGATAGATTTTCTGTACTGGAGCACATAAGTCCTGGGTGGTCCAATCTGGGGAGACATACGCAGAAGGAATACCAAGCAGGGGCATGATGTGAGGGGGGTAGAGCCCCTGCGGGAGGACTATGCCTGGTACTCCTCCCACATCCCAAGTTCCAGAAGAGGGTCTGGGCACCGCATTCACCCCTCAGCTCTTTGGTGGAGGAAGTACCACGGATGGAGGAACTACCCGCCACCGCAACCGCCAAGAGCGCAGGCAGGAGGGACCAGTTTGGCCCTGCCCCTCATTTTACAGTGTGTGGGGTGTTGAAGTCGGACGGACCCGGCGGTGGGAGCGAGGGCTTGGCAGAAGCGAGCCCGACTGGTGAGAAGTCCCGGGGAGCCGGTAAACTCCGGGTTCGGAGGCCGGGGACAGGGTCGCGGGTTCCTCTGCTGCTTACCTGTCGCGCCGAGGCAGAGCAGCCGCCGGGCCGCCGCGCCGCTCCAGGGTTTCCCGACGGGGCGGCCGGCGGGCGGGGCCGGGGCGTTCCTCCTCAGCGGCCCCGGCCCCGCCCCGCCCTCCCGGGCCAGGTGCAGCCCGCCACGCACCACGCCGGGGAGCGGCTTGCGGTCGGGTGGAGCGGCTCCCCGCCTTTTCCAGACCTCAGCCCACCCCGGGTGCTGTTTCCGCCGCCAGACTCTCAGCTCCAAAACGGATCGGAAGGTCCTAGACACCCCAAGGGCCACAGTCATTAGCAGAGCCGTTGGCGGCGCGTGCGGAGAGTCGCGGCGCGCCTGGAGCCGCTGGTTGACAGCGCGGCTGGAGGGTTCAGAGCCCCGAGGCTTGGCGCCAGAGTGAAAAAACGCGGCCTAGCAGGGAGGAGCCCCGAGGCTGTGTCATAGGCTTTGTCCCTTCATTTGCCGCAAGAGTTGGTATTAACTGTGTGCCCTGAGTGGTGCCAGGTCTCGGGTTAAATCCCAGCCTCAGAAGATACCTACTTATTGTCCGGGACTGTACAGGGAGGTGGCTGATCACACAGCTAGTATTTTCTCTCAGTGTGGTCCCTTGACCCGCAGCATCAGCACCTCCAGGAAACTTTTTTAGAAATGTAGATTCTGGCCGGAGGCGGTGGCGCACGCCTACAATCCTAGCGGGGCTTGAGAGGCTGAGGCAGGAGTCCTGATCGCAAGTTCAAAGCCAGCCTTAGCAAAAGCGAGAGGCTAAGCAATTCAATGAGACCCTGTCTCTAAATAAAATACAAAATAGGGCTGGGGAGGTGGCTCAGTGGTCGAGTGCCCCTGCGTTCAATCTCTGGTACTCCCCCCACCCCCCAAAAAGTGTAGATTCTAGTGCCCTGCCGCAGAAGACCTAAATCTGAAACTCAGGATGAGACCCAGCGACTTGTATTTTTAAAGTCCTCCAGTTGATTGCGATTCACATTCAACTTTAAGAACTCTTGAACGATAGTGTCAGGGGTGGAATTAAAATCCAAGTAACTCAGACTGGAGGTATAGTTTAGTGGTGATAATGCATGAATGAGAACTTGGGTTTGATTTCTGGCTACACACACACACACACACACACACACACACGTAAATTCAATTCCTAAACCTATGTTCTGAATCACCCCACCAGGACTACGGGTCTGTTCATGGATGCTCTACAGTTCTAAGGTTCTTTTTTTTAATTAAATTTTATTGATTTTAATTTGTTATATATGATAGCAGAATGCACTTCACTTCACATTACATATATACAGCACAATTTTTCATATTTCTGTGATGTAATGTTTTGGGGTCCTTAGTAAGAGAGTAGCATGGATGACTCCAAATAGCTGATAATTTGAAAACTTTGTATGGTAGAAACTTGGACTGTTAACCCAAGTTTTGTTTTTTTTTTTTTAATATTTTATTATGGGGCTGGGGATGTGGCTCAAGCGGTAGCGCTCTCGCCTGGCATGCGTGCGTCCCGGGTTGGATCCTCAGCACCACATACCAACAAAGATGTTGTGTCCGCCGAGAACTAAAAAATAAATATTAAAAATTCTCTCTCTCTCTCTCTCTCTCTCTCTCTCTCTCTCTCTCTCTCTCTCTCTCTCTCTCTCTCTCTCTCTCTCTTAAAAATAAATAAGTATTTTATTAGGTATCAACACACCTTTATTTATTTACATGCGGTGCTAAGAATCAAACCCAGTGCCTCACACATGTGAGGCAGGCACTCTACCACTGAGCCACAACCCCAGCCCCCTCCAAGTTTTGTTTTTTAATGAATTGGTATTTCCAAGTCCCCAAGACCTGGGAGCAGGGTGCATCCAGCAAGAAGTCAGTACTAAAAGGAACTTGGAAGGGCTGGGGAAACCACTTGGTGAAGGAAAGTAATCTTGTTTTCTGATCTAATGATAGAGTTGAGCTATTCAGTAGGCCAAAGACATTCCATGACCTCGCCTGGAGAGAAGGACAGCAGAGCTGGGGTTAAGAAGAGCTTGCCCAGCTACACTAGATCAGAGGGATGTTGAAGGATGACATTCCCACAGTTCTGAAAGGGAGGAGGTGTCTCACTCACTGTTGGCATGGTCACCCATCTTCCCTAACTCTAAGCAGTGAGGAAACAGTTCTCCCTCCCACCACTCCCTTCCTTTCACTCTAAGAGTGGGGGATTAATCTTCTAAAGAGATATTTCCCACAGAGCTTCTTTGATCATTCCTTTTAGCTCCTTTCAGACCCTCAGGGCTCATTCTAACTCTGTTTCAGGTGCCACCATTCCCACCCCACCACCCAGGAGTGGTGGTGGTGGTAGAGGGGTTTACTGGGGATTTAACCCAAAGATGCTTTGGGCTGAGCTACATTTCCCAGCTCTTTATTTATTTATTTATTTTAAATTTTGAGACAGGATTCACTAAGTTGCAGAGGGTCTTGTTAAGTTGCTGAGGCTGGCCTCAAACTTGCAATCCTCCTGCCTCAACCTTTCAAGTCAGTGGTGGCAGCTGCCACATTCTTGTCACTTGCCTTATTCGACTGCTGTCTTTCTTAGGATAAGAATGTTTTCTGTTGTTATAAATGTTGCCCCTCATTTTTGTCTTGGCAGCCAAATGCTCCTTGTATAGGTTTGACCTATTGTCTTTGTTCCATTCTTCTCATTCTGTTCTGTGACCCTCGGGAATTGTGTGATGCTAAATCAGGACCCAACCTGATCTAAGGTAAGTAATCTCAGTTCTTTCCTAGGGTAGGTTCATGACCACTGACTCCAGGCTGGAGCTTGTGAGAGATTCTGCCTAGCTTGCCAAGAAGCAGCATCAGTCTCGGTGTGTATTTCACACTGTAGAAGCAAATTACTCATTCCATCTTACTTCAGCTGACTCTGATTTTAAATGTAACTTTGAGTCCTCAGAATGATTAGCTGCCTAATTTGGAGACCTATGCATAGACCCACCCATAATGTGTCATGCACTGAGCTGCTCTCTCTTAGCAGGAAGGACAGTACTGGCTTTCTCCTCTCTGCTCCAAGAAGGTCTGGGGATGAGTCACCTCAGAATGGTGACTGCTACCTTAACCTCCACTGGTGACAGGCCCCTTAATACACATATTTAAATGATATTTTTGTGGTACTAGGAATTTAACTCAGGAGTGTTCTACCACTGACCTACATCCCCAGCTCTATTTATCTATCTATATCTATTTTTTTAAAATCTCACTAAATTGCCAAAGCTGGCCTTGAACTTGTTGTCTTCCTGCCTCAGTCTCCTGGTGGTAGCTGGGATTGCAGGCATGTATCACCACGCCCAGTTAAAATGGTTTTCTTTAAATGACAAAGTTTTATACGCATGTGGTTAAAAAAAAAAAAAAAACTCAGGCACTATGAAAACGTTTAGAATGAAAGCTACATCTCCTACCTTCCTGGACCTGCAGTCCTTCTCTCTAGAAATCATCCACACATGTTCTGCTTCCACAGGACATGCCTGGATTCCCCTAGCTGCAAGAAACCTAAAATGACCCCTTCTCAGGAAGTACTAGGAATTTCATTTTTTTCCCTTACAATCTTATTTTTACTTCTGGGCCATTTTAGATTCAGGTTTTGGGTGATCTGAATTTCACTTTTCACATCAGTGTGCTTTCAGGGGGTTTCCCCACCACGGGGCAGGAAACAGATCTGTTGAAACCAGCAAGATGAGGGCAGCTTTGTGAGGCTGGTGATGTCAGCTCTGTCCCTTATCAGCTGTCTTCTTTCTACATTCAGTCCCTGGTGAGGAAACACCCATCTCTGGGTGGGGCGGAAGGAACTGAGGGGAGAGGTGCTGGCCCCACCTACCTGGGAGAGTTTGCAGAAGATGCCACAGAACTTGCCAAGGAGGTCTGGAAGAGCCCAGCTGGCCCGCCTGCCACCACTACCCCTCACCTCACCTCTAGGGGCAGGGCCTGCAGTAGGAATCCGGCAAGTCCCTTTAACCTTCTTGCAGCTTAGTTTTTTACCTTTAAAATGGGGTTAACGAGGCCTAGGGTTGTTGGGAAGCTCAAGTGAGACAACTGATATGAAAGTGTGATAATTCTTCTGAATTCCTTTACCTCTTTTCTTCTGATATTCACACTTCCTCCTTCTCATCTCATTCCTGGGCTCAGAAGAGAAATTGTCAAGCAAGAGATGTTTTAGGAATCAGGCAGAGCTGTTCCAAATTCTGCCATCATCACTCATGCATTATAGTTCACTCACCTCTGTACTTCAATTTTCTCATTTGTAAAAGAGCATATTATTTTTATTACTCAGCTCTTAGGTAAGTGTTTAGCCCCAAACCTGGTAGACAATAAGCACCCACTAAGGGTCAGAATGATAGCCATTATCATTAGCTGTTTTCCTTCTTTTATTTTTTTCCTTCAACTGAATGCTGTCTAAGTCAGCCATAGGCTAGCTTCTATGTTAGGTCTAAGATCAGGCAGAGATACAAGGATAGAGAAGTGTCCTCTATCTTTCTATGTCCTCTTTTCTCTCTCTCTCTCTCTCTCTCTCTCTCTCTCTCTCTCTCTCTCTCTCCCCCCCCCCATGGGTCTCCACCTAGCCTGACTGAGTCAGGGACACCTGGCGCAGCAGATCTCTCCTGTTATTTGTAGATAAACAACTCAGCAGGGTGGGAATGTGCCTAGGAGTGCTCTGTGGCTCTTTCCAAGGACAAAGGTCATGTCCCTTCCTTGGACAGGCTTTGCTCTGAGGTAGAGGCTGAGTTTTCACTGGGGATGCAACTCAGTGATGGGGACATATTTAACATACCAATCCTTGGAGATGAATAGGAGGAAAGGTAGCTGGAGTGTTTTATCCAAGAGGACCTTTGTAAATGGTTAGCTGATTCTGTGTGTCAACTTGACTGGGCTATGGTACCCAGTTGTTTGGCCTTAAGGGTAAAGACAGGTTTCCTGGGAGAGGATCAATTCCGCCTCAGGATTGCCTGAGTTTCCAGCTTGATGCCTGTCTTGAAGATTTTGGACTCAAGATGGCAACATCAACTAACACACACACACACACACACACACACACACACACACACACACACACACACACACACAATCTCTCTCTCTCTCTCTCTCTCTCTCTCCTTCCCTCCCTCCTTCCCTCCCACTGAGCTGTAGTCTTAGCCCTTTTTGTTTTTTTATTTTGAGACAGGTTCTCACTAAGTTGCTTAAGGTCTTGCTAAGTTGCTGAAGTTGGCCTTGAACTTGTGATTTTCCCATTTTAGCCTCCTGAGTTGCTGAGATTACAGGCATGTACCACAGCACCAGGCTCAACATCAGCTCTTACATGATTTTCTAGCCTGCTGCACTGCCCTACAAATTTCGGATTTGCCAGTCTCCATGATTCTATGAGCCAATTTCTTTAAATTACTCCTTATCACTTTTTTTTTCAAAACCTGTTGGTTCTGTTTCTTTAGAGAACTCTGACTAAAACAGTACTCCTGCATGAGATAAGACTGTGGACATTGAGACAGATACTCATAGTGGATGTTGCACTAGAAAATGGAGCTTGTTTACAACTTAGGTCCAAATTGTCCAGATCTCTGTCCCATCTGTTGCAGAAAATGCTGATATTTTTATCTTTGATGAAGCCAGGTATAACACAGACTTCATCACAAATTAGTAACTTCCCTTCTCTGGGTAGGACTGTGAACTTCTCTTGCTTTCTACTGCAGTGTGTATTCCCATTTTTACAAGTGAGGAGTTTATAAGCACAGCAGTTTCCCATGACTGCAGAGTCTGAGCTCTTGGCCACAATTTTTTCTTTTCTTACAATTCTCCCCATTTATTCAAGTCTCTATTTTATGATCCTCAAAAAAAATCTTCTCAGATTATCTTTCTCCTTTCTGCACATTACGGAGAGAGAATAATTCTTGTTAAAATGATTCTTTGGGCTTTTATAATACATTTGCTATTGTAAATATTAGACTGGCAATATTGTAAATATTAGTCTGACAAAGCAGTCCTCCCAGGTGTGGTAGGAGGAGTGGGCAGAGGCCACACAGAGGCACGTCCTTCCCCTTGGTCCTCTCCTAGAATTTTTCCACCTGGACCAGTGGATACATCCAGAAGGCTTTGATCTCAAGGATTCCTAACCACCCAGAGATCTAGAGAAGAGGCCAAAAAGGAAGCTCTAAGCTAGAATAACCTTTTCTTTCTCATGGGAAATGAGCTATGTTTGCTGAAAGCTGATTAATATAGATTATAGTGTTTGAAATCAGGGATTTACAGAAACTCTTTGAAAGCCACTGATTATCAGATAGACTCTATAAATTCCCATTGTGGTAGTGGATAAATCAGTTGGGTACAATGGCATGTGTATAGGTGTTCTCAGAGTTGAAACCCATTGCCAGTCAGGGAGTTGGTGGTGTTTGGTGCTGGTGTTGGGTGAGGATTGGCACTAAGAAAACTATGTTTATGAGGTAAACTCTCCCTGTTCCATGAAATTTTATGTTTTAAAGGATGCCCCCAAACATCTCAGGGATTCTGATCCCTTTAACCACTCAATGGAAAAGGCAACTGGGGGTATGGATTATCTAATTTGTTTATGACATAACTTTTTTCAGCAGGACCTTAGAGGAGCATAAATAAATTTCTTCACATATTTTTTAAAATTCCTTTATATCTTATCCAACTAGGAGAAGACAAATCTGAAGTGGTGTCTTGACATAGGTGCATTCTGCCAGACTATAGTAAGATATGAGAGGCACATATTGTCACAACAAGGGATCTGCACAGTCTTTGAAATGATATTGTCTTTGCTTACTAATGATCGTGTCTTGAAGTATCCTGGGGTTAGCTGCCATAAGAGGTTTATGAGAAGCTATTCCAGGCTTGCCAAACTGCTGAGGGACTTATGGCATGGAAAGCAAGAATGTCTTGAAAATTCGAGAAGCAAAGCTACACTTTGGTCGCCTTGATATTGGACTTTTGGAATGCTGACAGGCTGTGTCATTAGTTATGCTCTCCTGGCCTTTGCTGCTGTGTTGAACCCACAGGTGCTAAATTGGAAGGTTCCATTGGTCAGGAGGTTGATCCCTTAGCATTTATTGATTCCTTGGTGATTTATAGTCTAACCCAATGATGGGCAAGCAAAGGTCCCTGCTGGGGGTCTCTGGAACAAGTTTTCATTCTATTGAAAGAAACACATATAAGAATAAGGTGGTTCCTCGGGAGCCCCCTGTGATAAAACCCAAAGAGTGAGCAGGGGATGACAAAATCTAGGCTTTGTTGATATGTTGAGCTAGGGCTCAACATAATGGCCATGAGGTCTACTCCACCTTGGCATCTGTTATGTGAAATAACTCAGTGGGTTGTTTTAGAGCCAAAGGCAGGACCAACGGGGAATGTAGAGTGCACCAGCCGAAAAGGACCTGGACCTTCTCCAAGGGCACTGAGACTTTGCTTTGAGTCTGCAAAAACCTAGAAAGCAATAATGAATAATCCTACCTGGGGAGATAAAGAGTCTTGGAGCCATTTCGAACCAACCTTTTAACTCAAGTGGTTGAGAAAGCCACGTCTTGTGGGAGGCTTAGTCTGCTGCCCATGGATGAGCTTCTCTGAGATCTCACAGATGAGGCAAGTCCTGGAGCTTGGATTTGTGCACTTTTTGGCTTTGGAACCAGAACACTAGGGACTGGGGAACATTCTGGAGGTTCCAGTTCACTTCACCTATTCTTCCCAGGGTTATCCCCTACCAGATGCTATGGGAGAGGTGTGTCTCGGTATAAGGGTTATGGGACTCTGATAGAACTGACCCCAACCAAAAGAGAAGCTCTGAGAATGACTGTATGAAGTCCCACAGTTAGGTTGCAGATCCGTAATCATGGGAAAGCTGTTTAACCAGTTTTCTCTTTTTTAAAAAAGAGGACATTTATATTGATCTGTTGTGAAATTTCCATGAGATAATGTATGCAAATCACTCAGAACAGTGCTCTGAACATTATAAATGCTCTCAGTTCAACAATGGTAGCAACAGCAACACAGGCACCCAGGGCCACTCCTTCCTACCTCCAAGGGGACCCAGGATCATTGAACTACATTAAAGGTGCTGGGATCATTCAAACCAAAATAGAAGCTCAGTAGAGCCAAGGCCTGGCTTGATCTGAGCCTGTAACCCCACCAGAAAGTTTTCTTTACTTATTTTCAATTTGGACAGGTCCCTCCACAGCTCATTCATGAGCTCGGCTAGACCATAATGTTCAGGGACTGTATGAGGATAGACAAGTATGGCTACTAAAATAGTGCTCAGGGAGCTTTCATTTTAGTTTACTCCCAAAACAGTTGAAAGCAGTGTAAAGAATAGAAATGAGACAGAAACTCTCCAGGTTGGTGGTTGCTGTTCTTCTGGCCTCTTGTGTCACTCAAGGAAATGCACTCTTCAGAGCTTAGCCATGTTGGCAATCAGTGGGTGGAACTAGATATCTGCCAGGCTGTAGGAGAGAACCCTAAGTCCAATGCACCACACCCAGACACAATAAGAATACTTAATAAGGCAATAATTCTGTTATTCCAGCCATGTCACCCAGGTGCAAAGTCCAAGCCTTGAAATTCTTTTTTTTTTAAATTGCTTTTATTTTTAAAATACATGACAGTGGAATGTATCAAAATTCTTGCCTTAGGGCAGTTACCCCTTATCTGTGCCTGTGTTGCAGGCAGGGGGTATTGTTGGCCCATAAGGACCCTTGTATGGCATTACTAAAAGGCACTCTTTGCTCCAGCAAATGCAGATCTATAATCAGGACACTTGGCTTGACCAACTAAGCTTGTGCAGAGCACAAGTTGCACAACCACAAATGGCAGCCATGGGTAGAGCCTTGGAGTTCCCATTTTTGTTGGGGCCTCTTACAGCAATCTCTGCCTCAAGGTTCATGAGGGAAGTCAGCTTCACACACTTTAGGGGAAAAGTTAGGACCCTTATCATTTAGCCATGGTTATTCTTTGCTATAACACAAGAGCAAATATATATATATATATGATGCCAGGAGCTACCAAAGGGGATGAATGGATTTGAAACCCTGGGCTGCCTGGTGAACACTGAATTGCCTGTCTGTGGAAACTAACCTATGACCAAATGGAGAAGAGACTGAAGAACTTGACTAGGTACAAAGACAGGGTCAGTCAAGTGTAAAGTACCTGCTTTTTTTTTTTAGCATCTCTTTAGGGAACTTCCTTCCTTCAGTTTTAACTCACCTCACTTTCCAGCACTAGGGGTGGACCTATAACCTTTTGGCTCTAGTGATTGATTTAGGGGTAGGCATATTATCTAAGCCAGGCACTCGATCATCTCTGAGACAGTCCCTGGAACTAGCAAAATTAAATAAATAAATACAACTCTCTCCCCTGTTCTTCCATCCCACGTCTCCACACAATCACTGATGGAATCATTAGCTGGGAAGGTAGGTGATAGAAGCTTAGAGAGGCTTGTGGCCATCTTTGCTACTACATAAGGAAGGAGAGTCAATTTGAACATTAAGCCAACCCTGAGAAAGCAGAGAAGGGGAAAGAGAGGGTGATATCTGTTGGACT